GACTAGACATTTTCATTCCTTGAACGAAATCTTTATTTGAAATAAAATAACTTATATTACTAAAAATAATATATAATTTAACTATTACGTTATTAATAAATGTAACATAATGAGATGTAATGTGGACACTTGTATACATTTCATTTACTTTGACGACAAAGAATACAATTGTCATAATCGGCTTAAATTACCACCAGTATAGTCTGTTTTAATAATTTAGATTAGTTTGACAATTCACTTCAAATTTAGTAGGGATGGGTTGTGTAATCAGTCATGAATCTTATCGATTTTCGATTTTTATTCTTATAGTTGGAATCGATAGATTCATAGTTATAACATGAATAAAAAAAACACTGTTTTCTTAAATTAATAATGACCATAACAAATAATGAGAGTGAGTAAATGTTTATTACTACTACAGTATGTAATCGAATTGGATTTCGCTATTATTTCTGTCATCGCTAAATTCTCTACACTATAATCAATACTAGAATTGTCCGATAAATTAGTTTATAAGAAAATTATAATTTTAGTTGAGTTCGATAATTATTTAAACCAAATATCGATAGTTCATAATTGTTAGCTGCGTGTTTCGTCACTACGATACCTGTCTATTAAGTACTTCAGCCTTCATACAAATTGAATTCGATACTTCATATGCGTCATTTATCAAACTAATCTATCTTATTTAGACAAACTATAACACTTTAAAATTTTCTTTTATTCTTTTGTCTACATTTTTTTTAATACGCGTAAGTGTGTGTGAGTAATATGTGTTGTTGTCTCTGTTCTTCAAAGAGCAGGAATGAGAATATACAAGTGTCAGTGAAAGTAACTACAAAATTTTGCTTTGTAATAAATTATAAAAATCAACAAACCTATATTATATAAACACTTAACTAGGGTTGTAACAGAGACCAATTAACGGAAGCGGATACACGCGGATGTGGAGGCGAAGGAAGCGGAAGCAGAGGTCAAAAATAAAATATTAATTGCGATTTTTCAAAGAAATAAAAACTAAAACTACGTTATATCAAAATACAGATTGGTTCATAATTACAAGATACAGTTTATTATGCAAATATAATGTATAACAATTATAGTTAGTTGACATAACGACCGCGTTGGTTTATGCCAACCCTAATCGCACCGCGTTAAATACGTAATAACCTCCGTTATAACTCCGCATAAGAAATAACGGAAGCGGATGCGGAGTTAATATTTCTTGCGGAAGTTCCGCACTTACGGATTTTAAAGCGGAGTTCCGTTACAACCCTACTCTTAACATTTACGAGATGATTTTTAAAGGGAGATATAGATGTAAGAGTACATACTGTGCACACTACGTAGGAAGGGCTTGATGATTTTTTACTAACGTTTTATTTAGAATATTTTTAATATTATTAAACTTACATATATTGTGATATTGATAAATATAGTTTGTTTAAAAAGGGATACATTTAAATAATTCATGTCCCAATTTGAATATCGTATGAAGAAATATATCACATATGTTTTCTGTAACTAGTTTTTTGTTTGCCTTAGCTTAGAAATATGTGGGAAATAAAGATATAAGGACACGCAAGATATTTTTTTTATATATCGTAAGGTGGCAAACGAGCAAGGCCACCTTAATCCGGCTAAAATGGCGAAGCGACTGCCCATAGACATCCGCAATTGCAGCGCTGCCTACCCTTATACGACAGAGGAGATGCACATAAAGAGGATATTTCCCCTTCCTATGCATCTCCATCGTCAAATCGACTTCCTCTTCTCATCCTGTTTTTATAAGAAAAGGGTGGTAAAGAATGGACTTAAATTAGTCCTCCGACACCATACTCATCAGACTGTACACGGAATTGCTTCCACTTCACGCCTGTCTGTGTGGACGTGGTATTGCTGAGAGCCCTGCAGTGCTAAGATGTTAAAGCGGGCTCTACCACTGTTTAATTTCTTTATTAATAATTGTTAAATTATGTTTTTTTTTACATATAATTCTGTTTAACATGTTAACAGAAAGCTAAAGATTATGTTCTGTTCCCTTTTTGTGCCGTACAAACGGGTTCGGGTCCCGCGGCACAACCTACCCTTGAACTACGATTGCACCGGAGGGCATAATATTGTAAACGTAATGGGGAAAATGGTACTCACCAGCTCGATGAATTTGCGTCACCTCCTGCAGGTGCCTTGTCTCAGTCAATGTCAATCGAGTCAGTCTGGTTCAGTCAAGTCTATAGGCCCAGCGATGCTGCCTGAAGATGTATCAGCAATTTCGAACGCGAAACCGAATTTAGCGACCCCGTTCGCTACCGAAATCGACACGCCTGTTGTGTCGTCGCGTTATCAAAAGAGCAACTCTAATCCGCACAAGTTCGCGACCGTTCCGCTTGGCTGCTCGATTCCGACCTTTTTTTTCGCATCCCTCTCCGCAGGCCCCGCGCCCGTCCGTCGTGGAGAGGGTTTACTGTTCTACCCGCCCGTGCGAGAAAAATAAAATAAGCGCGCTTACCCGCATTAAGCCCGGGGCGCGAAATACAAAATTATGTTCGCCACCGAATGTGGCGAACCCGTGCTATCTATACCGAACACTTTTAAAACAAACTATATTATCTTTTTATATTATTGAACACAGACCTCAACCATAGACAACTATTACAATTAAACGATTTTAACTAAATTTTTATTAAGTTAAAGGAATTAAGTGTATTTTTGTTACTGAATTTTGCAGATACTGGTGGCATCAATGTATGTTATTTCAAAATAAGTATTTATTAATACAATGTTCGTAAGATACGGGTTTTTTACCACGATTGAATTGTTATAGCTCCCGATATTTCGGCACAGTTGCATGCGCCATGTTCACGGGCTGAATGAAGTGATGCGGTAGTGTGAAAAGAAGGTGGTAAGAAACCCGTATCTTACGATTATATTTGTAAAAACCACGACAGTTTAAAGTTATATAAGTATTTATTATCTAAAACGTATTAAAAAACTGAATTTTAAATTAATAAGCTTCAAAATCCAATAAGCATACATCGCGAGATCTAATCTTCTACTCATATTTAGACATTCAATTATTTTAGCTTGGCAACATTTAAAGCAAAAATACTTTTTTTTTATAACATAAGATGGCAAACTAGCAAGCGGCCACCTGAATCCGCCAAAATGGCGAAGCAACCGCTGTCCGTAGACATCCGCAATTGCAGATGCGTTGCCTACCCTTATCCGACAGAGGAGACGCACATAAAGAGGACATTTCCCCTTCCTATGCATCTCCATCGTCAAATCCACTTCCTCTTCCCATCCTCTCCTTATAAGAAAAGGGTGGTAAAGAGAAAGGGACTTAAATGAGGCCTCCGGCACCACACACGTCAGACTGTACACGGAATTGCTTCCACTTCACGCCTGTCTGTGGTCGTGGTATTGGGGGCGAGCCCTGCAGTGCTAAGATGATAAAGCGGGCACTACCACTGTTACATTTTACAATAGAAGTCGACTTTAATGACACTTGTATACAAATGACTTAGAGATGACAAATGTATACAATTCTCGCTGTCGAGTTCTACAATAATACATATATCCGATATATTCCGAAAAAACTCCGTAGTCGAAAGCGTAGAGTCTAAATGGAAGCGACCCATAATATTTTCTTTTTTTTTTATTGAAAATATTACATAACACAAATTAAACAATATGCACAAATATGGCCCCGCAAAAACCATATAATTGGTTTGTCCGCGGACTTGTTAGAACTTTTTATGTGTTTTGCAATTTAGCAGCACCTTTTCAACTAAATAAATAATAATTCTATGAATTATTCTGCTAAATCAGGCAACACTGGTGACAGCCGTAGAACTCCACTGTAATGATAAAAGTATACATTTGTCATCTTTCAAAAGAAATTGAAAAGATACATTTGTATACAAATGTCATTCGAGTTGAATTCTTGGGCAAATAAAAAAAAATTTAAGCTACATTGAAGAAATAATTATGCATTTTCATGTACACAATTATAACTAACATGTAATCGAATTCAATATAAATAATACAAATGTCATGGACAATGTTATTTTCTATGGATTTTGTACTTCAGCGTTTTTTTATACAAAACTGTCTTAAAGTCTGTTTGATTTTAATATAATGTTGTTTAAATATTTTTAGCTTTTTTTTATAATATCAGTTGACAAACGAGCAAGCGACCTGAATCCACCGAAATGGAAAGCGACTGCACATAGACATCCGCAATTGCAGCGCTGCCTACCCTTCATTGACGGAGACGCACATAAAGAGGACATTTCCCTTTCCTATGCGTCCCTTCCACTGTCAAATCCACTTTTCCTTCCCATCCTTTCCTCTTAAGAAAATGGTGGAAAGGGAAAAGGACTAAAATTAGGCCTCCGGCTTACTCTTCAGATGAAACACGGAATTGCTTCCACTTCACGCCTGTCTTCTGTGTGGTCGTATATTTCAACGGTCGAGCCGGCCCATTCGTGTGAAGATGTTAAAGCGGGCTCTACCACTTTTGCCCGTGACTCCGTTCGCGTGGATTTAAAAAATGTAGCCTATGTGTTCTTCCAGACTATTCTCTATATGTATGACAAATTTCATCGAAATCCGTTCAGCAGTTTAGGCTACAAACTAACAAACATCCATCTAAACTTTCGCATTTATAATATTAGTATGATTTCTTATTTTCATTGAATTCGATTATACAGTTTTCAATAGATATTACTTCCTATTATCGTAACTTGTATAAAACATGTTAAGTTACTTAAATTACTTGATATTTTAGACATTTATTACATTGAAAAAAATTATTTATTTCATTTTCTATATTAACTTATCCATTATTCCAATATCCATTAAATATGTCTTACTGAATGAATCCATAAATGGATATATAAAATACAAATCACCGATCACATGTAATATACAATTAGTCATTGAATACATATGTCAATTTATAGAGACAAAGTATACAAAAAGTCAGTTTACAGATTTATGACGTCACAAGTCATGAAAACTTACATTACATTACGTTAAAATGCATGTAAAATAAAATTTGTGAATAATACAAATTGACGTTTGTATTATTGAGTCAATTTTAAAGAATACAATACATCGGTGATAGTATTAATAAATTCAATCTACGGTAGATTCGTTATCCTCATTTTTAGTTGTGATATGAAACGCAATAACCGGGATCGAACCCAGAACCATACAAGAACCCATCCCGTAGAAACACCAGGAATACCCTCCTGTGATGTCACGAACCATTCCTGGAAGTAATATATAAACTGAAATATTTTTTTAATTATATACTAGTAAGGGACTTGGCCTGCATTAAATAAAAAATATAGCCTACGTTACTCACTAATAATTTACCTTCCTAATGGTGAAATATTTTATTAAATTAACCTAGTAGTTTTTGAGTTACTCCAATACATACAAAAATACAAATTTTTCCTCTTTATAATATTTCTAGCTGTTGCTCGCGACTTCGCTCGCGTGTATTTAGTAAAATAATAAAAATATAGCCTATGATACTGATAACGTAGCTCTATAACGGTGAAAGAATTTTTAAAATTGTCCCAGTAGTTTTTGAGTTATTTTAATATATACAAAAAAACAAATCTCTCTTTATAATATTAGTATAGATTAGTTGTCTTTAATGTATAAAACCACACTTACTCACTATATCACCACTGAGGGGAGTCCTAAGGGACAGTAAACTGCAACTTCACATATCTTTGAATTTCTTCACACATATACGATTTTTTTCTTTCACAAAAAAAACGGGTAAAAGTGTATATAAAATAAACTGACCAGCAGTCGGCGGCACAGAAACTGCGGCCAAACTCTGGAACATTCTGACGAGGCCGTAAGAGGAGGCGATGCGAGCTGTGCCGAATGCATCCGCCAACAGAACTGGGACCAGCAGGAACCAACATCCCAGACATAGGCCGTATGCACCTGTGGAATGTATATACTGACTACGTGTATAAATGTTGACTACATGTATAATAGGCAATATGCATATGACGCCAAATTGCACCAAACATTTTTTAAGTATACTTTATTACTATAAAAACATTCCTGCAAAGATTTTTTTAAATATAATAATAATGTGATTTAGTGGCAAAATGTAATCATTAAAAAGTTTCTTTTTTTTTAAATTCCCTCGCTAAGTTCTAAAACGCACACTATTGCTCGAAGCAAGTGGCTTATCTAATATGGCGTCGCTGTGTTGACAATACACAGTTCATTTACGTTACTTTATATAGAAATACACTCTTGAAGTATTTTACTGTAAACACGATATCAAAACCAACTTTAAAATAAAAAAATAATGAATAGAATTATTAATTACCACTTATTTGTACCAGGAATAATAAAAATGAATCGATTTTTTACTTTTTGACCTTGAGATACTTTGTTATGTTTTACGTCGAAGTGACATCTGAGCGTAAGTTATGAATGGAATATGACGATTGACGTCAATTGTCTCATGACAACTCCGGTCGCGTTTTAGTCGCTCGCAAATGGTCGTAATTTTACTTTATTACTTTTAGCTCAATGGTTGAATATTTTCGCGTCAATTTTTTTTCTGGTTATTTTATAACAAATAGAGTCGTTTAAAAAAAGAAAAAAAATACATGCATATTCCCTATTACTGTTTAATTGTATAATTACTACCTTAATGTATACAAATTTACTGTTTTAATGTATAAAACATATTTTTCGAGAAATTTAATTTAATTTTAGATATTGATTTTAAACTTTTAACTGAATTATGATGTGTTTTTAATTATAACTAGCGATTCCCCTGCGACTTCATCCGCATGAAAATATAAAATTTCATTTTATTGTTCACATTTGTCAAATTATCAATAGCAAATGTAACATGACATGACATGACAAATCTTGACAGTCTTGCTTCCTTGATGTTGGCAGCAATTTATGGTCCCTTTCCCACATTAGGGTTTTTATCCAAAATATTTACCCCCTAAGTAATGGCGTGAAAATATATAGCCTAAAGCGTGACGTAATTGTAGGCCTTTTTATTAAAAAAAGAATTATTCAAAAATATGGTGTAATTGCTGACATCTTAGGCAACAAACAAGTGTGTGTTTACGCTTTATTATATTAGTATAGAAAATACCTGAAGCAATCGCCAGCGCCCACCAAGATGTTAAACTTGGTAAAGTTAGAACAGCAGCTCCGGCGACAAGAATACTGTGAAAAATTGATATTTTACAAATATTACAAATGTGAAAGTTTAGATGGATGTTTGTTAGTTCGTAGCCTAAATGGCTGAACGGACGTCCGTGAAATTTGGCACAGGTTTAGAGCATAGTCTGGAAGAACACATAGACTACTTTTTATCCCGGGAATAGTTAGTTCCCGTGGGATTCATTAATTTAGTTTTCTAATGTTTACTCGATCATTCTGCAACGATTCAACATATCTTATTGAAATTTGTCACAGATATAAAACAAAGTGTGGAGTACACATGCAATAAGCTTCATCTCAGAGAAATGTCCGGTTCCCGGGATACGTAGCTTTTTGTTATTTATATAGTTCGTATGTTTTCTAATACCACGCGGGCGAAGTCGCGGGCAACAGCTCGTTTCAAATAAAGAATACAATATTCACAACTAGCTGTAGCCTGCGACTTCGCACGCTATTAAAAAAACATACGAATTAGGAAAAAATCCCAACGGCAACTTGATATTTTTCGAGGATTATCTTGTATGTAATTCAGATTTTGTTTTTTCTGTTACAAATTCGTTTATGGTTTTTTTTATTTCGTACTAGCTGTTGTTCGCGTCTTTGCGTGTAATTAAAAATATAGCCTCTATTACTTACTGATAACGTCGTTTTTTAGTGATGGAAATCTTTTTGAAATTGTCCCAGTAGTTTTTGAGTTATTTCAATAATACAATTTTTCATATTTATAATATTAGTAATTTACAGTAATTATACGAACCTAACAATATACGCCTTTCGCCTACAGAAGAGATGTAGGTCACACAGCCAGCCTAGACCCAGACGTCCGCACAGGTCCAGCACTGCGCTAATTGCTACCAGACGACCTGGAATTATAAATACTGGGATTTAGCAAATTTAAAATAAACTACCATCACCAATTGGACAATAAATAAACTGAAACAAAAAACCACTAGTAGTCCACTAGTTTTCCACTAGAAATCCGTATTTGCAAATGCGTTACTTTTTTTTTATAACAAAAGGTGGCAAATGAGCACGCGGCCACCGGAATCCGCCAAAATGGCGAATCGACCGCTGCCCATAAACATCCGCGATCGCAGATAAGTTGCCTACCCTTATCCGACGGAGGAGGAGACGCACATAAAGAGGATATTGCCCCTTGCTGTCAAATCCACTTTACCTTCCCATCCTCTCTTTATGAGAAAAGTGTGGTAAAGAGAAAGGGGCTAAAATTAGACCTCCGGCACCACACTCATCAGACAAAACACAGAATTGCTTCCATTTCACGTCTATCTTCTGTGTGTATTTTAACCGTTAATTTGTTAGTGTACAAACAATTAATTAAAAAAGCCTACTGAACTAATTTAGAGCAAAATACGTGAGATTTTGATTTTATTTGGATTAAGATTTTGATTTTTTGCTACAACTTTGTTGAATTAATAGTTAATCGATGGAGAGGACGCATATAAAGAGGATTTTTCCCTTTCAATGAGTCTCTTCCACCATCAAATCTTCGTGTTAGTTTTAGCGTTAACGTTACTTTCAGCGCAAGTTTTAGAGTTAGCGTCAACGTCAGTGTCAATGTTAGTGATAGCGTTAGTGTAAGCGTCAATGTCCACGTTAGCGTTAGCGTCAGCGTCTGGGTCAGGGTTAATGTTAGTGATAGCGATATTGTTTGTGTTAGTTTTAGAGTTAGCGTCAGCGTCAGTTTCAGCGTTAGTGTCAGTGTTGGTGTTGGTGTTGGTGTTGGTGTTGGTGTTGTTGCTGGTGTTGGCGTCAGTGTTGGTGTTGGTGTTGGGTTCAGTGTTGGTGTCGGTGTTGGTGTTGTTGCTGGTGTTGGCGTCAGTGTTGGTGTTGGTGTTGGTATTGGTTTCAGTGTTGGTGTCGGTGTTGGTGTTGGTGTTGGTGTTGGTGTGGGTGTTGTATGCTCTCACCGGCCGCAGACTTGCTGTGCCCCGCGGCGACGGTGTACGCGGGCAGGTAGTAGAGCGCGTAGGGCGAGCCGCACGACATCAGCGCGACAGACGCGCAGAGCAAACCGAACCTCCACGACTTCAGCAGAGATACGTCGAGATATCTAAGAATAACATTTAAATTGAGAGTAGCCCTAGCAGCGAAATTAAGAAGTACATTATCATGTTATGAGGAAGGATGAATCGCATGTAACAAGGACGTTAGTTATGAGTACACCGGTAGAGGTAGACAGAAAGAGATGTATTGTGTGAAAGGTGATGAAGAAGGTAGTGACAGATGATGGACGATAGAGTTATTTGGAGGAAGAACCGGTGATGACACTACAGGAAGATACAGGGGAAATGATGACTAACGTACCTACAATCTCTACAATTAGCCATTTTCTTTTTAAAAATTTGAATTATAAGCATTGTTTGATCATCATCAATCAAATAATAACATCCAAGGTAAATACTGTACTTTCAAGTTTCAGTCAAATTTAATGAGAACTAGCTGTTTCTCGCGAGTTCGTCCACTTGAAATTAAAATAACTATATAGATTAATTACTCACTGATAACACAGCTTTTTAATGGTGAAATGATTTTTTTCAATCGGCCCAGTAGTTTTTGAGTTATTTCAATTTATACAAAAATCTAAATATACAAATCCTTCCTCTTAATACTGTTAGTATAAATATAGATAAAGTTTAGTAAACTACTAAGTTTTTGTCTTACCGTGATATCTTATCAACACATCCTTCTTTCTTCTCTTCTACTTCCGCACTCTCTTCTTTCCTTACTTCTTCCTTCTTCGTATCAATTACCGTCTCTTCTAATTTGTTCTGAATCAATCTACTCGGTAATGGAGGTCGTATATATAAAGATCTGAAAAAAAAATAATTTCTTCACAGTACACTTGAAAATCGTTTTAACCTGATTCATCTTTTTATTTAATTAAAAAAGAACTTTGTATAGTATCAGAAATATAATGATGGTAAAAACCAATAGGGCTTTTATATTTGAGGTTATAAAATATATTTAATTATATTATAGAAAACATAAACAAGGAATCCATGAAAGTCACTAATCACAGTAGAAGTGATTTATATTATAAAGAAGAAAGATTTGTATTTTTGTACTTTGTGTATTGAGTTAACTCAAAAACTACTGGGACGATTTTAAAAATTCTTTCAGCGGTAGAAAGGTAATTTTTTTGTGAGTAAGGTAAAGTCACGAGCAACAGCTAGCTATTAAATAGAAATAATCTTTCTAATGGCAAAGGAATTTGTAATCGTCCCAGTAGTTATTGAGTTATTTCAATACAAATAAAATACAAAACTTTCCTCTTTATAATATTAGTATAGACTACCTGTTGCTCGCGACTTCGCGCGTAAAGTTAAAATAATATAGCCTATGCTACTCACAGATAAGTTACCTTCCTAATGTTCAAAGAATTTGACATCAACCCAGTAGTTTTTGAGTTATTTCAATACAAAAATACAAATCTTTCATTTATAAAATATTACTATAGATAAGTTTTAGCATATAACTTACCTGCTAAGTTTTCTCCTACTCGCTTTGTACACACATGTGCTGTCAGTCGAGAGATCTTCTACTGAATGTAAGATAGAAGAAGAACGAGTCGGTCGCAGACGTAGTCGAACTACTTCTCGAGGTAAACCTGATAAATATTCTAGAAGTAACTATTTGTAAAAAAAACGTAATTAAACTGTTCTCATACTTCATCCTTATCAAATCATAAAATAAAAGAAATATTGTTGACATTTATGTTTCAACTAGCTTTCGACCGCGACTCCGTCTGCGTGGAATAAAAAAAAACAAATTTAAGTAGCCTAACTGTTCTTCCAGACTAGCCTCTACATCTATGACGAATTTCATCGAGATCCGTTTAGCCGTTTAGGCTACAAACTCTAACAAACATCCATCTAAACTTTCGCATTTATAATATTAGTAAGATTGCCGACATACATAACTAAGTAGTATGTTTACGCTTCATTATATTAGTAAGTATAAGTATAGATATATAATAGTATATTATAAACAATGAAATAAAGTTCTTTTTTTTATTAGAAGGGGCAAACGAGTGGCAGGAACACAAAGCTGGTCAGCGACGTCCATGGACATCCTCAACACCAGAGGAACTGCAGATGCGTTGCCTTTGAGGAAATGAAAGGCTCGCTTCTTGAAGGACCCTAAGTCGTTGTAATTAGTCTTATAATTTGACGCGGATGAAGCCGCACGTGAACAGATAGTTTATAAATATTTCTATTTAAAAATACTCACCAACAACCCCTAGCACATCTAAACCTTCAGAATCTTCGGAATCAGATAATTGTGATGTTAAAGGAGGTCGTGTTACCTGAAATATAGAAAATATATAAAGCATCAAAAGTGTAGATATATTTAAATATTATTTATATTAATTACTAATTAAAAATAATACAAAATAATTGAAATAATAAATTTGTCCCAAATAGTTCAAGTTGTCAAACTAAATGGGATTGAGAGATGATTCAAAATTTTTGTACACGACTTAAAAAATATTCAAGAAAAATAAGTATAAAACTATTAAAGTGGTATTACCTCAATAAGACTTGGATGTAATATCTCTGAGAGCAAATTAGTTCTCTTATCATCACTTAGTAAAGCATTCTTCTGGTTCAAAGCCAACTCATTGTCCGCGTGGAAGAGATTAACCAATTTGTTATCTTTGTTCACATCCGCTTTACCTAAAAAGGTATATAAATAGTAAAAAAAAGGTACAAATACGTACATAAATCTATGAAAACATCTTTCGTTATAAAATAAACTAAACAATGTCACGAAATAAAATATAAACATTTAAATATGATTTAGTGACACCTATTGGCAATAAATTTAAATATAATTATACTAGCTATTACTTGTGACTTCGCCATCGTACAATGAAGAAATATAGCTTATGTTACTCAGTGATAACAGCTTTTTAATAGTGAGAGAATTTTTGAAACTGTCCCAGTAGTTTTTGAGTTATTTCAATACATAAAACAATACAAATCTTTCCTGTTTAAAATATTAGTATAGATGAAACTGCCGAATAACGGTTTTTCCTACAAAAATTTCTGAAATGTCATGTAAAATCTAGTTATTTTAGTTAGAACGGGCAACACCTTTGACTAAACTAACAACTATTGTTTGATATTTTATTCGATTGTCGATTCAACCGTTTAGTCGCACAACTAAACATAGAGTAGTGTAACTCCTTATAATATTAGTATAGAGTGTATATGTAATATTCTCACCTTCCTGTATATCCTGTAAGAGTGTGGTGTTCTCCGTGGTGGTGGAGGTGACGGGGGTGTGCGGGCGCGGCGCGGGCGGCGCGCGGTACAGCGTCGCCGACACGCACACGTGCAGCATGCCTCCACCTACATATACCAGTACAGACTTACTGCTACGAGTTAAGTGCTACGAGCTTCATACTTCGATACTCCTGCTATTTTCTTTCAGCGACTGCGTTACGACAGTCCCCCAGTATATTCAGATACGAGTTTCCTTTCTGCTACGTGTTACGCTACGAGATTCGCTACGTTAGTCCCCCAGTATATTTAGCTACGAGTTTCCTTTCTGCTCCGAGATTCGCTACGACCATCCACCTGTGTTTCTTCTGCTACGAGTTATGTGCTACGAACGTCATACTTCGTTACTCCTGCTATTAACTCTCTGTTACGAGTTATTCTACGCGGTTGCTAATAGAACTACTCTGCAACGACTTCACCGGTACGATCATTCTACTATAAAAGTAAACAATGAACCTGCTAAGTATGTCAATTTATTTAGTTGCTGCTACAAGTATACATCTACGATAAGATGCTACTAGTGTTCTATACGACAGATTTTCTATATGAGACTCCTTCTTTGGGCTACATGATGTTATAATGTGGGGTTGATGCTATAAGATTCCTGCTCAAAATGATCTGTGCAGTCTCTATTCATTTGCTGCTATAATTAGTGTTGCTAGCTTTCTAATACGTGACCTTTGTTACAAGATTCCGTTGCTAATACAAATTTACTACTATGAGTTTTGCTACGAGAGTGCTCCTATGCGGTCGGTGTTACAAGATTACTGTTACGAACTCACTTTTTTTTTACAAATAAGTACCACTGAACCACGATCCTGATTTTAAGTAGAGATGTGGTTAAAAGATGGTATACTTACTAAATACCTATTCATTATCTTGAATGGTGATTTTGCTAACAAATTCATTATGGTTGTTGCTTTCTGCTACGAGAATCTACGAGCTTTCTGTTACAAGAGTCTACGACCTTTCTGTTACGAAATTCTACAAGGTTTCTGTTACAAGAGTCTACGACCTTTCTGTTACGAAATTCTACAAGGTTTCTGTTACAAGAGTCTACGACCTTTCTGTTACGAGATTCTACAAGGTATCTGTTACAAGAGTTTACGACCTTTCTGTTACGAGAGTACGATCTTTCTGTTAAGAGTTACGGATAAATCTACTTACCAAGTAGCAGAACAGTCCCGTGTAGACCATACATATCGACTAATTTCTCTATCAGCATTGGAAACACAAAGCTCCCAGCAGCTGTCCCGCTCACGCAAATACCGTTCGCCAACGCTCTAGAAAGAGACAGAAGTATTAGACTCCCTTTAAAGTCACATTAAAACTAAATTGTTTAAGGTTTATATCGATTTTGATCGTTATTCTGGAAGAAAATCAAACAAAAACTTGACCGTAGTTAACAAAGAGATTGACAGAAGTATGTAAAGTAGACATAGTCTGAGAGTAGCCCCAGTAGTAGAGAAGGTGAGGAGTAAAAGGTTAGCATGGTATGGGCATGTTATGAGGAGAACGTTAGTTATGAGTACACCGGTAGAGGTAAACATAGAAAGAGATGTATTGTGTGAAAGGTGACATGATCAAGAAGAGAGTGACTGAGATGACGTATGATAGAGTTATAAAGAGGACAAAAACCTGTTGCGCTATGGGAGTAGGATAAGAAGAAAGAAGATGATCCCACTAAAACTATTTATTGATAAATCCTCAAATGTCAAAAAATAATTGTGTTTAAATTGCCAACAGATGTCGTTAAATAATATTTTGTAACACTAGTTTATTTTATAACAAAAGATGGAGCTTATTATAATTTAAAAGTCAATACACGAGACGGCATTAACTTGACTGATATAGAACCTTTCAGAGAAAGTACCGGTGAAAAATGATTGTTAGTGCCTTTCCCACAACTGGCTGATATAGCCTCAGATAGCTTATAACGTCACTGTCAGATAAGGGAACAAAATCCGACAATTTACAATTTGGTGGAACAATTCCTGAATCTCGTCTATATATTTCTTAAATGTCTTTAGTATAAAAGTAATTAATTTTTATTTACCTGTGTTTGTCAAAGTATTGTGAAACAATCACAATACCGGGAGTTGTCGATAACCCTCCACCGATACCTGAGAGAAAGATACATATTTATATCTTTATAGTTTGTCTAAATAAGATAGATTAGTTTGATAAATGACACATATGAAGTATCGAATTCAATTTGTATGAAGGCTGACGTACTTAATAGACAGGTATCGTAGTGAAACACGCAGCGAACAATTATGAACTATCGATATTCGGTTTCAATAATTATCGAACTAGAATAAAATTATTATTTTCTTATTAACTAACTTATAGGACAATTCTAGTATTGATTATAGTGTAGAGAATTTAGCGATGACAGAAATAATAGCGAAATCCAATTCGATTACGTACGGCTGTAGTAGTAATAAACATTTATTTAGTCTCATTATTTGTTATGGTCATTATTAATTTGAGAAAACAGTGTTTTTTTAAATTCATAAGTTGTAACTATGAATCTAATGATTCCAACTATAAGAATAAAAATCGAAAATCGATAAGATTCATGACTGATTTTACACAACCCATCCCTACTAAATTTGAAATGAATTGTCAAACTAATCTAAATTATTTAAACCTTGTCATTTGAGTGTCATAAACTCTACCATACTCACCAGTCATGACACCAAAGCTGAGCAACAAATGCAACAATCCCGTACTAAAGAAGGACAACGCGAGTCCAGTCGCACAAAACAGACCTCCGGTGAACACAACAAGACGGCAAGAGTATTTCTCACATAATGCAGAAGATAACGGAGCTGAAAGAAGAATTATATAAGGATTAGATTTCGCCCGCGACACCGTCTGTGTGGAATTAAAATAAAGACAAAAGTAAGTAGCCTATGTGTTCTTCCAGACTATCCTCTACATCTATGCAAAATTTCATTGAAATCCGTTCAGCAGTTTAGGCTACAAACTCTAACAAACATCCATCTAAACTTTCGTATTTATAATAGTAAGATAGTGTAGAGATGGATGGATGTTAGAGTTTTTAGCCTAAACTGCTGAACGGATTTCAATGAAATTTTGCATAGATGTAGAGGACAGTCTAGAAGAACACATAGGCTATTCACTTTTTTCATCGCATTTCATCATTCAGTCGCGGGCAAAAGCTAGTAATAAATAAAGTAAAAAATATATAGACAAGTACCATATCGTAACTTACCAAGTGCCAAACACAACGTAGACAGAGCAGCTGGTATCCATGAGGCAACTGATTCCGAGGAATCAGGGAACGTTTCCATTATCTCAACGTACAGTACACCGTACGACTTGAACAGACCAGCGACCCAGAATTGTACCATAAACGCACCGAATACCACCACCCAGCCATACCCACCGTCTGGAGGACATGGTATACTGGGGAGAAAATTATTACAAATGAAGATTGAAGTACACTGTACCGACTGTAGTACACTTTACTATTGTAGTACACTGTACTGTTTGTACTACAATGTACTGACTGTAGTAAACTGTACTGACTGTATTACACTGTACTGACTGTAGTACACTGTACTGACTGTAGTACACTGTACCGACTGTAGTACACTGTACTGACTGTAGTACACTACAATACACTAGCATTGATTCCGGATCAGTTTAGAAACCTGAAAATCTCTTAAGCTAATGCTAACTTGTAACTTATGATAATAAAATAAACGGTAAATAATAGACAATATACCGTTTAAATTAAAATAATAATGTTAGTACAATTTATTGATTAAAAATGACTTAACCTAAAAATCTCGTAAACTAGGAATGCTAGAGATTTATAGTTCTTTTTGTTATAAGTGACCCGGATTCAATGCTCTTGAGTGTATGTATTGTGTTGCAGAGAATATGCTAGAGAAGGGAATTCTGGTAGAGATGTATGTAAGAGTACATACTGTACACTACGTGGGGGAAAGTATGTATTGTGTTACAGATATGCTAGAGAAGGGAAATCAAGCATAAACTACTACTACGTAGGGGAATACTCACTCAGTAGAATCAGGTCTCGGGCGCAGTTTCATTGACGCAGCGAGTAAAGGCCTCGCGGTCACCGACGACAATGTCAGAAGAGAATCCTCCTCCTGCTCAGTCGGCGACATCGCTGACAAATACGCACCCACTTGCTGCACAATCGATGGAAGTCATGTGAGTGATACCAGAGGAATGATTTTAGAAGGAATGATGGAAGAACGATTTTCCTTTCCATCTTGGGAAGGAAGCCTATATGCTCTAGACTTTCTACATGTATGATAATCATCAAGATCCGTTTAGTTTAAGATATAAACTGTAACAAACACACATCAAACGCATCTATACATATAATAAAATTGGAGTTGTTTGTAATATCAGAAAAAAAGATTTCGGTAAGATGCGTTGCTGATATGGAAATCGCATTTAAAAATTTTGTTTGTATGTCCGTTGCCGCGTTTGTTCCGGGTAATCTCCGAAACAACTGGACCGGTTTAGACCGAACTTTCACTGAAGACATAGATGGACGGATATTATAGGCTACTTTTTTTTTTAATTCCGCGCTGTCAAAATGGCGACCAGATCCCTATCTCTGGGACGGGTGGACCGATGTGGACCGCACTGTAACTGAAATATAGCTGGTAGAAGGTAGATGCACGCGGGAATGTGATATATGTCGTTTTTTAAATATGCTAACTCGTTTATAATATTAGCAAGATAACTGATAACTGACCGTGGCTAGTGGTAACTCAAGCAGGAGGCTCGCTGGCCGCTCCCTCTGCTCCACAGACATCGCCCTTTGTTCTGGAGGGGCTGACTGTATTGATAGAAGCGAGCCTGCGTTGTCTGGCGACAGGCTGGCCTGTGTCCAAATCAGCCAGAAATACGAAAAGTTTAAAAAAGTCGTCAAAAGATGGCGTTATTGTCAATCGGTAAAATGTTTAATAAAATTGTCATTAGATGGCGTTATTTTTAGTTGTGCGATTGTCGATTGTTTCGCAGCCTTCAACTGTTTGGTTGCACAACTAAAAATCGAGTAGTGGGATTATTCCCTACCGTCATCCCGCCTTGTCCACGGGAGGACAGATGAGAATAAAAAGTTTCATCCGTCCTATCTTTGGCGAAGAGGGGACGGTTGGAACTTATTTTATTTCTTAACGGTTCCATCTGTCAACTTATTGGTGACAGTGGGATTAAGAGATGAGACGGATGAAACTTTTTATTTTTGTATGTCCCCACGTGGGGACTGAGCGGGGAGACGGTTGGGAAAAATCCGAGTAGTGTACCTCTATATAAGTTCACAGCAATCAAAGCGAAACTAAACAGTGCGATTTCATGCCACCCACAAGTTACAAATGTTTAGTCTAGTTTGGACGATCTAGGGTGTACTTTACCTCCATAATGGTGTCGGTTGCTGGCAAGTCGATAGAGCATGAGAGCGGTGCGGTAGACGTCGGTGGTGCCGAAGACCCGAGGACCTGGTCTTCAAGTCTTGCCAACTCCTGAAATACGTATGGAAGTTAACCAAAATACGGAAAACACTACAGTCCCACTCATTCTCTATGAAGTAAGCAGTGATAGAAACGGCTCGGTGTAACCACGACCACACAGAAGACAGACGTGAAGTGAGAGTGTAATTTCACGTACAGTCTGATTAGTATGCCGGTGGCCTAATATTAGTCTGTCCCTTTCCACTTTTTCTTATAAGAAAAAGATGGGGAACGTGGATTTGACGGTGGAGATGTATAGGTAGGGGAAATATCCAGTTTATGGGTGTATTTCTCTGTCGATTAAGTGTAGACAACGCTGTTATTGCGGATGTCTATGGGCTGCCGCTTCGCCATTATGGCGGATTCAGCCGCTTACTTGTTTGCTACCTTATGTAAAAATAAGACAGTTTTAATCTAAGAAAAGTTTTAAATCTTACATAAAGTTAAAGAAACCTAATAAATGCAATATTTCTGTACAAGTTTAAAATAATAACTTATATAACTTAGCTGGTTATGCAACTTTTGTATATTAAATAACAGATATTTTGAAAACGTTAGGGTTATTCTAGGAATTATTATCTATAAATTAAATTACAAGCAAATTACAAGTAAAAAAATTATAAAACCCGCCTTTGCCCGCGAATTCGTCCGCGTGGAATTTAAAAACAAAAGCAAGTAGCCTATGTGTTCTTCTCTACTATGCTATCTATGTTAAATTTCATCCAGATCCATTCAGCAGTTTAGGCTACAAACATCCATCTAAACTTTCACATGTATAATATTAAGTACTAGCTGTTGTTCGCGACTTCGTGTGTAATTAAAAAAATATAGCCTATGTTGATCACAGATAACGTAGCTTTTTAATGGTGAAAGAATTTTTGAAATCGGTTCAGTAGTTTTTGAATCATTTCAATACATACAAAAATACTTTTCTCTTTATAATATTAGTAACTAGCTTTCACCTGCGACTCCGTCCGCATGAAATTAAAATAAAACAAAAGAGATTAGCCTATGTGTTCTTCCAGACTATCCTCTACATGTATACAAAATTTCATCAAAATCCGTATAGCAGTTTAGGCTACAAACTAACAAACATCCATCCATCCAAACTGTCACATTTATAATTATAAGTATGATTAGTATACGAGTAGTATAAGTTTCCCGCTGTCTGCTTTGTATTGTTAGATCTAACTATTTCCCTAGTATACGTAGTCTATGATTGCAGCCTTTTACCAGACAGTGCAAGGTGAATGCCCCGCGTATTTAGTTAAATATTGCATTACTGCATTTCAATCGATAAACAGCATTATTTTGGCGTTTAGCCAATTGCTTGTTACACCTTTATTTATGCGGAATCGAAACTTCAATCCAAAGTCTTTGTACAATCGTGGAAAGCCGCGGGGTCAACTTAAGGAAACATAACCTTGTTCATTGCAAACTCCGACTCTTACAAGTAAGTAATGTACAAAGGAAGAGATATAGATACAGACATTTATAAGCTGAATTTTATTGAAAAAACTCAAAAACTACTTGGGAAATTACAATAATTCTTCCACCATTTAGAAGCTATTTTATCAATGTGTGATATAGTCTATATTATTTTTATTTCAATCATACGAAACCACTAGCAATAGCTAGCATTTAATGAATACATTGAAAGCAAAGCCTTGTAATGGGGTGGATAAAATTCCACCCCTATGTTAATTTCTAATCAATAACGCGGCCTCTAAACTTGAAAATGATTCATCCGAAGGTAGTTAAAAATGTATTAAACCAATAGTCTATGTCTATACTAATATTATAAAGAGGAAAGTTTTGGATATTTGGAAATTGTATGTATTGAAATAACTCAAAAACTACTGGGCCGATTGCAAAAATTCTTTCACCATTACAAAGGTAATTTAACTTTGAGTAACCTAGGCTATATTTTTTTCTAGCTGTTGCTCGCAATTTCTCCCGCATGAAATAATAAATATAGCATCTGCTACTGACTGATAACGTAGCTTTTTAGTGGTGAAAGAATGTAATTGGCCCAGTAGTTTTTGAGTTGTTTCAATACATATAAATATCCAAAAATGGTAATATTTCCTATTTAATATATTAAGTACTAGCTGTCGCCCGCGACTCCGTCCGCGTGGAAAAAAAAGAAAAGTGAGTAGCCTATATGTTCTTCCAGACTATCCTCTACATATATACCAAGTATCATCGAGATCCGTTCAGCCGTTTAGGCCCCAAACTCTAACTAACATCCATCTAAACTTTCGCATTTATAATATTAGTATATAGTATATTTCTCGCGACTTTGCCCGCTTTTAATATAGTCTATGTTACTCACAGATAAATTACTTTCCTAACGGTGAAAGAATTTTTAAAATCGGCCCAGTAATTTTGGGTTATTTCAATAGATACAAAAATACAAATCTTTCCTCTTCATAATATTCGTATAGAAGCAAAGATAGATATAGATTATTTAAATTTACGCCGACGAAGTACGAGAGCATCTAGTTAAATATACACTTAGGGTAACACTTAGTGTTTGATTGCGGTAGATGTACCAGGATGTCATAGGACGACAGCTCATATTGATTTAACAAAGTTTGCGAGCGCTCAGGTCACTGACCTCTACAACTACCTTAAAACATAATGTTGATGCACTCACAATGTCCCCTTAATGGACAATTAATTATACTTTATACTGATATTATAAATGCGAAAGCTTAGATGGATGTTTGTTAGAGTTTATAGCCGAAACGGCTGAACGGATTTCGATTAAATTTGGAATAGATGCAGAGGATCTAGGACTAGAATCCGCCAAAATGGCGAAGCGACCGCTGCCCATAGACATCCGAAATTGCAGAATCGTTGCCTATACGACGGAGGAGGAGACGCATAAAGAGGATATTTCCCCTTCCTATGCATCTCCTCCACGGAGTTTGGAAGAACACATAGGCTATACACTTTTTTTTAATTCTACGGGGACGGAGTCACGGGCGAAAGCTAGTCTATACATATAATAAAATTGGAGTATCTGTAATATCGAAAGAAAATTTTCAGATTTCGCAAAGATTATTTGCGATGTTGATAACGAAAATAAAATTTAAAAACAATTTTATCTGTCTGTTCGCAAGCCGCGTTTGTTCCGGGTAAACTCCGAAACAGCTGGGCCGATTACAACCGGACCATCACTGGAGGGTAGCTGACAGACGGGCATAATATAGGGTACTTTTTATCTTAATATTGTATGGACGAAGTCGCGGGCAAAAGCTATTAAATATTATATGAACCTCATCATTGTCAGCCATAGGTCGTCCACTGCTGAACTTTGACGAACCTAAGTGTAGTAAGTAACTTATATGAACCTAAGTGACTGATATTCGCGTATATTTGTTAGAGTTTGTAACCTAAGCTAATGGACGGATCTAGATTGTCATAGACGTAGAGAATAAGGACACAGGCTACTTTGATCCCGGAAATGGTTACGGTTCCGGTGAGATATTTCGTTTTTTCATATTTACTGAATTCAGGCACAGATTAAAATAATAAAAATAGAATTATATTTTTTTGTTTGCACATAAATTAGTTATTTATTTATTAGTATATGTAAAAAAAATTATATTTTATTTTACTTATATATATAAAAAAGGAAATCTATACTATTATAATAAAGCGTAAACACACACTTCTTTGTTGCCTAAGATGTCAGCAATTACAGCATATTTTTGAATAATTCTTTTTTTAATACAAAGCCCTACACTTACGTCACGCTTTAAGCCTAAATAATATAGCCATATTTTAACGCCATTAAACTTAGGAGGTAAATATTTAGGATAAAAACCCTAATGTGGGAAAGAGACCATAACTTGCTGCCAACATCAAGGAAGCAAGTAGTCATGTTATGTCATTTGACGAATGTAAACAACAAAATAAAATTTTCATAATTTTATGCGGATGAAGTCGCACGGGAACAGCTAGTAATAAATAAAATTACTTAACTTATCTTTGAGAAAGGTCAGGTTCGTAGTTTTTTTTTTCGCGTTATTTTAAAATACACGAAAGTATAGCTTTAGACAACTTTGCAGAATATATAGTATCTGTTATAATGGGTTACTGGGTCACCGAATGCGACTATATTGATTTTTAATATCGGTTGCATCTCGGAATGTTTTAAAATTCGAAAGATTTTTAAACTGTGAATTTAAAAAGCAAAGGTAGATTGTCGTTAAAAAGAAATAAAACCTCGATAACTCAAACCTCGGTAACATAAAAACCTCTATAACTTCAAAAAATAATATGTTCCCTTCCCATCAGAGCCCAAAACCTCTACAACATAGACCCTTGATAACTTAAAACCTCTATAACTTAAAATATTCTGTGTTTCCCTTGGTCTGTAACTTATCGAGGTTCTACTGTAATAGACAAACAATATTTTTTTTTTCGTTGACATGAGAAATGACCTTCAAAATATTTTTTTTTCTTTTTGGTTCCTTCAAAACTTTATTCAAATTATTGTAAAGTGTTAACTGAATGTTGTCAATAAGAAAAAAGTACGAAACAAATTCACCAATAACCAAAAAAATATTTTTTTATTTAATAGACTAGCTGTTGACTAGACTTCGTCCATGCAATTAAGATAAAAAAAAGTAGCCTAAATATGACCGTCTATGTCAGCTATCCTCCAGTGAAACCGACAGACAGACAAGAAAAATTAAATGCCATTTTCGTTATCTGAATTTTTCATTTGATATCACAAACAGATACTCCACTTACATTCTATGTATAGATAATAAAATTACAATTCTTGATTTATGTGACCCTTTTGATCCGATTTAGTTTTCGAACGGAATCTGTTCATTAAAAATATGTTGCAATAATAAAATTAAAACTTGAACTTTTGACATGTTATTTTTTCTATAGTAAACAAATGTCAACACATTTTGACATTACAAGAATAAACTTACCTTTTTAAATATAAATTCTCTTGGTAAAGACATCGTTTACTGGGAATATCAGGCGGCGCTGGTTGAGATATGGAAATATACCCTTTAAAGTGATCTTCCGATTCTGTCGAATTTAACCTTACACTCACAGTAAAAACGGCATGCGCCGCTAAATGCATTGGTTTTATTACTATTTTCACTCGTAAAGAAGCCGTTTTAATAAAATTTATTTTACTTTATAATAGAAAATAAACAATTGTTTTAACACTTTTTAATTCGCAATACGATGCGAAAATTATGGTGTAATGCCAGCCAACATTTTACGTAATAAATGTGGAAATATGTGATATTATTAAATTGTTTTTTTTTTTTAAGATTAAAATAACGTGACCGCTTCAGAACACTGTTCCGGAATATTCATCCATATGATATCTTTACTACGCTTGCGCGGAAATAAAATCAATAATTGGAAGGTCTACATAGAAATATACAAGATTTTTTTATGCTGACAACACTAAGAATTTTACAATATTCTTTTCCGTGTCATTACCGCGCTAAATTAAAACAATTTTATCAATGTTATAAATGCGACAGTTTTTTTTTTTTAGTAAATACGAAAGTTAAGATAATTATATGGATGTTCGAGTTTATAACTTAAACTTTTTTTTTTCATATTTGGCATAAATGTAGAAGACAGTCTGGAACAGGAAGTCACAAAACTTTAATACGATTTCAAACGACTTATTAAAAGTTAGTATAGGATTTAATTTATAATAGTTGTTTGGTCTTATCATTTATTTGTCTATACTATTTTATTTTATAAAGATATTTTATATTATAAAGATTTTTTTTTTATTTTAGTATGTATCGAAATAACTTAAAAACTACTGGACCGATTTCAAAAATTCTTTCACCATTAAAAAGTTACGTTAACTATGTAACATAGGTTATTTTTTAATTCCACTCGGACAAAGTCGCTACAGCTAGTAATCTAACTTCTAACTAATATTATAAATGCGAAAGTTTAGGTGGATGGATGTTTGTTAGAGTTTGTAGCCTAAACGGCTGAACGGATCTCAATGAAATTTGGCATAGACATAGAGGATAGTCTTGAACACATAGGCTACTCACTTTTGTTTTTTTTAATTCGTCGCGGGCGAAAGCTAGTTTAAAATAAAACTATCTTTTTAAAATTGAAAACACAAATCTGCAATTATTTTTAATGTTACTTTTCATACAGAAATAATTCAAGTTAATTTATCTTTTATTTGGTGTCGAGGGGGACATCTTCAAGATACCTTGCCTTCTGGGGGAAAGGCTATGTTGGATTTGACCTAAAACCCCCTCAGTGGCCATCCTCTGACAGACGAAGGTTAAGGTATCTCCAAAGAACATACTGAACAATAGTCTTGGGTAGTACACGTACGATGTACTAAAAAGTAATGTTACTCGGCACTGTACTAAAAGTAACGTCACCGAACGGCTTCTGTTAATCGGACATTTAGTACTTTTAGTACACTACACGATATCGGTGTTCGCCTTTTTGTCAGATTGAAGCATCCACCTTCGATAATGAGAATCAAAAGTGGATAAAATTATTCATAACTAAATTTATTTTCGCTAATAACATATGTTTGACCCTGCTTAAAATTTGATGTGAAGAATATAACCCTCGTTATATTCTATTCATGTATTGTTTTCACAAATCTGAAGTACTAATAGTACTAATAATATACTTATTAACTTAAGTATATAATTCTACTATTAACTAAGTATATAATTCTAGTATTCGAAGGTACTAAAAGTGTGTACTAGTACGTTTTCCCAATTGTACTAGTACGGTGCGCACTTGCAGATGTCCGATTAAGCCCAAGACTACTGTACAAGTTAATTTACCTAGGAGCCAATTTCAGCATGGTTTTTAAGTATTGCCACTTTAAATAAAACCCCGGTAGTTCTAAAAATTTATTCATAAAACCATTCTTACAAAAATAACACAGAACCATGTACTTAAAAAACAAAACATTATTCCCTTAAACATAAAATACAAAAATCTTTGAATTCATGACAAAAATATATCTTAGCATTTACCATAAACAAAACAGAACAGGCAAACTACTAAAAACAGTAAAGATTGTAACTAATAAACTAAAAAACTATTTAACCGATCAAATTTTAACAGTGGTAGAGCCCGCTTTAACATCTTCACTGTAGGGCTCTCAGCAATACCACAACCACACAGACAGGTGTGAAGTGGAAGCAATTCCGCGTTTCGTTGGATTAGTGTAGTTCCGGAGGACTAATTTTAGTATTTCCCTTTCCACCCTTTTCTTAAAAATAAAGGATGGGAAAGAAAAGTGGATTTGATGGTGGAGATGCATAGGAAGGGGAAATGTCCTCTTTATGTGTTTCCGTCAATTAAGGGTAGGCAGCGCTGAAATTGCGGATGTTTATGGGCAGTTGCTTTCTATTTCGGTGGATTCAGGCCGCTTGCTCGTTTGCCACCTTATATTATAAAAAAACTTCCTTTACCATAAGAATGTTAAATTATCCCTGAATAATATATAACAATAGTTTAAATTACAATTAAACCAAAATTAAAATCATAAATCACTATTTAAAATCTCATCGAAACTTGTCTGAGTTTCAGCAGTATTGAAGCCTAAGAACACATCAATAGATGAAAAATTAGCTGTCTGCGTTTCTGTCGACGTCAAATTCATAACAGGGCTTGAAGATACACTTTCAAACAATTTGCAATTGAACTTCGGAGAATCATACAAACATAAGCATGTCTGGGTTTCCTTAATACTTAGATCGGGAGATCTCTCCGTTAAAGTCTCCTTATTTGATGTTAAGCCAAATTGTTTGAACGTCTGTGTTTGTATATCAGATACTGTCTCCGTAAAATAAATAGAATCTTCACTCGCTTGTGATTTCAAAGATAATAAATCTTCAAACACTGTTTGTGTTGATATTTCATCCGTTCTCGTTTCTTCTTTCTCCGGCCATAATGGTAAAACCACATCATTCTTTAAATTATCTTCTATATTTAAAGTTTGTGTCGCGAACGACCTTTTAGGGCTATCGCAGAAATATTCCTTTTCCTTTGATTCGGTTTTTAATTTCCTCTTTTCCGCTTTTCTCTCGTTTTTATACTGTTTATGTAACATGGGATGTTTCCTCATCAAATGTACGAGTAACCTTTCATTAGTTTTATATACTTGGTGACAATTAGCGCACTCGTAAGTGTAGTTACAAGTTGGAATGTGACGTTCATAACTTATTTGAGTTGGAAAAGACAGTTTGCATGTATCGCAGTTGATATTTTTAGGTATATGGACATTATTGTAGTGTTGATTTAGAAATTTTCTACCTGAAAAATGTTTGTTTTTTATATTTACGTTATAAGCGCAGTTTTCTATCGTACAGTAATATTGTAGTTCTATTTTAAAGTCTTTTTCCACTTGATGTTTCGCCATTAAATGTCTTAATAATTCTGGTTTCTTATTGAACGTTTCGGAACAATTGTATGGACATGTTAAAATTATTTTCGAATTCATGTCTGGTGCTGTTATCATTATTATTATTTTTTTATTATAGAAGGTAAACTGAATATTATTTTGTTGAGTATCTTCTGTGTGTGTACTCGACTGCAACTGGAACATAAATATAATTTCGCTACATTGGTACTCATTATATTGCACACAAGAAGGGGTACTTATTATTTCCTTTGTATAGATGTTTGTATATATTAATTACAATATCTATCATCCACTTGCCCTTATCACTTACGGAGGGTCGGTGCAGTATTCTTTTCCATACAACTCTATCAGCCATATCTGAATCCACTCCTTTAAGCATATCCTCTTTCACACAATCCATACATACTTTCTTCAGTCTTCCTCTTCCTTTGTAGCCATCCACATACATTCTTAACACTTTCTGGTTTATGTCCCCATTGTCTTGTCGCATAACATGTAGATACCATGCTAACCTTTTGTTATTACTTACAATAAATAATTAATAATTACAATAAATAAATAAAGGAATTTCATTAAATTTATAAGTTTAGTAATATTATAGATGCAAAAGTTTAGATTATTAGAATGTATCTTCAGAACAGAACAGATGTAAAATATATTCTCTAAGAAACAGTCTATTCAATAGGTTTTTTTAGTATTGCACAAAGTCACAGGCAAAAGCTAGTATACTAAATTATTTAGTTACAAGTTACTATATACCTCTAAAATGGTTCAACAGATCTTGACAATAAAAAAAAACATGCAGTCGAATTGAGTACCTTCTTTTGGGAAGTCGGTCAAAGATTTGGAATAAATATTGTACATAGTTTGGAATAGACAATCATTTTTAAATTCTCGCGGGTTAAGTCGCAGTCTAAACATAATTGTGAATTTAATTAAATACCTTTATAGCATTCTTCAAAGCATTATCACTCTGTTGACAAAGCAGTCTGAAGACGCGGCACTCTATTAGAGCCTCCTCACAGGAGGCACAAAGGAGGCCTGATAGTATATCTGGTTTATCCACCTGGAATGACGCCAGTATAGGGTTTTCGATGTACTTTATACCTTTTAAGTAGTATATATATACGGTAATAATGATTTACAATACCTTTACTTCACTAAACTTATAAAAATCCTCTAAAAGACCGTATTCAATCATATTTTTCATTTCCCCGCTCGAGGTCAAACAACCGCGACAAACTTGAGTCGGATCCATGTTTAGTTCATTTAACTCAGTCATTGTTTAGTAAAAATCCTGTAATTCAAAAAAGATATGTACACATTACATATATAACATTAATGAGAGTTTATTTCTTTTTTGTACTGCGAATGGAAAAATCAATATTTGGTTATTTGGACAACTGACAGTTGAAGTTCAATTTGTTTTTGACTTTTAACAATGTTGCCATATCATTGTGTGTGTTTTTACCTTTTATTGCAAGTATTTAAAAAGATTACATTGCAAATGTTAACAAAAGGAAAATGAAAAAATATTGATTGAGGTTTTTACTTTTTCTAATTCAATTATTAGATTGGTAAAATGATGATTTTCATGAAAAGTCCAAGATCCGCATAACTGCGTGTGAATTATACGGAACACGGAACTTATACGCAGTTTGCCGCAAGTTCTATTCAAAGAATTCAAACTTTCATTGTACAGATCTCTTTTGATGTACGAATACAATAACTGCGTATTTGCAGTTTTAACATCCTTTTGAAGATAAACGCTTAACTATTTTTGTATACGGACTTCATTGAATAATTTAAAAGAAATTTAAAAATAGAAACCTGACCCGAAAGTCAAATTGACAATTATTTTGGTTTGTCTAAATTAACAAGAGTATTTATTCTACTTTAAAAAGATAATTTCTTACGTTTTAATACCTCGTTGAATTAAAATTATTTTAAAAAATCATCATAAAAAAAGCCGGCGCACTCAAAAGCGCGAAGTTGTTTACAATATAACGAGTCAGTATCGTGCAAATATCGGATCGGTCGCCATTTGCGCCACGGAGGCTTCCAAATCGGTCTTGTGTGCAGTGAAATTATAGGTTATAGTTTAAGTTAATTAATCAACTATCAGTGCAAGAAAACCGAAGGAAATATACAAAAACACATCAATAGACTGTTTTATAAAGAAAGGAGGATAAAATTCGTGATATGAGTGAGTTACATTACATTTTTCATGTTACGTAGAAACGACACGTGCATCTAGGAGTTTTATTTAGTAAATTGCATTTGATTCGTGTAGTGCTTGCGTCGACTTTGTACCTCAAGTAATGTAATTTTTATTGAAAGATTGCCTATCTATTGATATTAATGTGTCTATCAGTAGGACTTTTTGTTTAATTAAATGTCGAAAACTTTTATTGGCCCCAATAATAGTCTACTAAAACGCACTTACGTGGTAAGTTAGAAAGTAGAATATTTTAAAAGATTGACAATTTTCTACATATGTGTAGTATTTAGTTTTTTTTTCTTATCAGTTTGTGGTTACATAGTATAGAATATTTGTTTTAATGAATTCATGTAAGAATGACCCTGAAGCTATTTTAGTATACAAAAGAATCATAGACTTATTTAGGTCATAAACAACTTTAATTCTTAATAGATTATAAATTTTATGGCACAAAATTTCTCAATCTTAAAATCTCGTTGAAATATTTCATAATATCTTGAAAGAGATTAAAAAACAAATTTATAAACAAAACTAACCCTTCCCATGTTACTTCATGTATACTTCTATACTAATATAAAGAGGAAAGATTTGGATTGTATTGAAATAACTCAACTACTGAGGTAATTAAAAAATTCTTTAATTATTAACAAGCAACATTATCAGCTATGTTTTACAAATTCTTTGTGGAACATTAGATATGAGTGTAGAGGTACACTGGTAGAGGTAGACATAGAAAGAGATGGATGTCTTGCGTAAAAGGTGACAAGATCATAAAGTGATGACTGAGATGACATATGATAGTTATTTGGAGGACAAAAACCTGTTGTGCTGACTACCAGAGTAAATAAAAAATAAATAACTAAAAAATCTCTTTATTGCCATCCTAAAATACACAGAGTTGTACAAAATAAAAAAACATACATGAAAAATTGTAACAGATGGCAAAAGGGGAAGGCTCAGCTTAAGCTAAGCTTAACCGATACGGTTGAGATCCAGTGTCGAGCTGGAGTAGGATAAGGAGGAAGTGATGATGATGAATTCCATGTGGACAAAGTCCCAAGCAACATCTAGTTAATTACTTTATACTGTAAAACTGTCAATAACAAATATGAACAAAAATGCACTAACAACATCATCATCTCCTTATCCTACTCCCGTAGGGTCGGCGCAACAGGTTTTTGTCCTCCACATAACTCTATCATATGTCATCTCAGTCATCACTACGTTTTTGATCATGTCACCTTTTACACAATCCATCCATCTCTATCTAGGTCTACCTCTACCGATGTACCCTTCCACACTCATAACTAACATTCTCCTCATAACATGACCATACCATGCTAACCTTTTACTCCTTACCTTCTCTACTATGGGGGCTACTCTCAAACTTCCTCTAATATACTATAAAAATGCACTAACAACAACAAACATAATTGATATTAGCTAGTTATTACCGTTACCATGGTAATCTGGCTTTGTAGCTATTGCCTTATATCTTGTCCCTTCCTCATTTGTTTTTTTTTTTATTTAATCACTCCATAGACTTAAGAGAATTAAAAATTCACTCTATATTGTGTCTTAAGAGTAGAGATTTTAATTAAAAAAAGAATTATTCAATAATATGCAGAGATTGCTGGTATATTATATAACAAAGTGTGTTTGTACTAATTAAGTGTTCTTGGGAAATCCCCACTTGAAATGACTAGCTGTTGCTTGCAACTTCATCTGTGTGAAATTATAAAGTAATAAAAAACAACCTATATTACTCAGCTTTTTAATGGTAAAAGAATTTTTCATATTGGCCCAGTAGTTTTTGAGTTATATTACAAAAATACAAATTTTTCTTTATAATATTGGTATACACTAGTTGTTCGCGACTTCTCCCAGATACAATAAAAAAAATAGTAACAATTTTTACCTATGTTACTCGGTGATAACATAGCTTTTTAATAGTAAAAGAATTTTTGAAATTGTCCCAGTAGTTTTTGAGTTATTTCAATACATAAATAAAATGTTATGTTATGTGTAAAACATGTGTGCCATCTATTTTAAAAGCCACGGAAGATCAGCACATATGCTGAGTGGTTATCACCAATAAATAAATAAATAAATAAATACAAATCTTTCCTCTTACATTAGGACAAACATGCTGGTGCTCACGACTTCACTCATATATCATTTAGCCTATGTTATTCAGTAATATCATAGTTTTTTAACTGTGTAAGAATTTTTGAAATTGTCCCAGTAGTTTTTGAGTTTCAATACATACAAAAAATACACATCTCTCCTCTTGATAATATTAGTATAGATAAAACTTGCAATATTTCCCATTCACAATGATTAAATGTCAAATATTACGAAATTACCTTAATTAAAATTTAAAATGACTTGTTGAGTCACCACATAAGACTTTCACAATCTTGGTGCAGTTGAAAGTATTCAAATACCTCTACAGTATAAGACATTAATTTCCTACCCATTTTGGTAATTGTGCTTAATGCATGAAAACTTTTTGTAACATATAGACCAGGATATCTGTAATTATTCAAACTAAATATATCATACTTATATCTATACTATTATAATAAAGCGCAAACACACGCTTTGTTGCCTAAAATGTCAGCAATTACAGCACATTTTTGAATACGTCTTTTTTAAATAAAAGCTCTACACTTATGTCACGCTATAGGCTATATGTTTTCACGGCATTAAACTTAGGGGGTAAATATTTTGGATAAAAACCCCAATGGTTGAAAGAGACCATAAGTTGCTGCCAACATCAAGGAAGCAAGGTTGCCATGGTTTGACATCATGTCAAGTCATTTTGACATTTGCAATTGATAATTTGACATACAGGTAGAAGATAGTCTGGAAGAACATATTGGCTACTTGGTTTTGTTTTTTTTAATACCATGTGTATAGAGCTGCGGGGGAAAGCTAGTACTAATGCAAAGAGAAAAGATTTGTATCTTTGTATGTATTTAAATAACTCAAAAACTACTGGGCCGTCTTTAGAAATTCTTTCGGTGTTAGAAAAGTAATTTATCTGTGAGTAATAGGCTATATTTTTTAATTTCATGCAGGCGAAGTCGCAAGCAACAGCTAGTTTTACTTAAACTTGCTTTGCAGAGGACTAAATATAGTCCCTTTTATTTTCCACCCTTTTCTTAATAGGAAAGGATGGGTAGGAAAAGTGGATTTGACAGTGGAAACTCATAGGACTGGGAAATGTTCTCTTTATGTGCGTCTCAATCAAAGGCAACACTGCAATTACAGATGTCTACTGGCAGCTTTCCATTTCGGTAGACTCCCTTGGCTGATTGCTTGTTTGTCACCTTCATCATCATCAACTTGCCCTTACCCCTATGGAGGGTCGGCATAGTATGTGCTACTTTTCCATACATCTCTATCAGCCGTCATATCTGAATCCACTCCTTTCTTAAGCATATCCTCTTTCACACAATCCATCCATACTTTCTTTGGTCTTACTCTTCCTTTGTAGCCATCCACATTCATTCTTAATACTATCTGGTTTATGTCCACATCATCTCGTCACATAACATGTCCATACCACGCTAACCTTTTGCTTCTTAATTTTTCCACCACTGGCACTACTTTCAAACTTTCTCAATATACACATTCTTAACTTTATCCATTCTTGTCACACACATCCATCATAACATATGCATCTCGGCCACATGCAATCTCCTTTCATTCGCAACTTTGGTGGCCAAACATTCAGATCCATACAATACGACAGGTCTTATGATGGATTTGTAGATCTGTCCCTTAAGCTTAAGAGGCATTCTTGGATCACAAATCACCTTATAATATAAAAAAATAGTAATAATAATTTTTATTTTTAATTGTTTCCAGTTGTACGGTGTCCCAGATATGAAGATTGAAGATAGGCTAAAGAATATTATAACAGTGCCTAAATTACAAAGTAAAATATAAATCTATCGTATTTAGTATATGGATAGAAGATATATATAGTTACGGTATATAAGAATGAAAATTCCCGAGACGTCGGCAAATATTGGTGCATATTATGGCAATGAGGACAACATTCAGTGGCAGGTAATGCTTGGTTTTTTGATCGGATAAGGAAAATTATATGGGTTTTTACGGGAATTATTTTTTTAACCTACGAATGTGGTTATCTTTTTTATTAGCGTAAAGTTTGTATGTTAGACTAGTTTTCGCCCTCGACTCGCCTTCATTTACCAAGTCAGAGACATGTTAGTGTTTTTTTAATTGGACAGGAAAAAGTAAATTTTTAAATTGTACATGGGTTTTTGTAGATTTTTTTTTAATCTTCAAATGTGCTTATTGCCTTTGTTTTAGTAGCGCAAAGTTTGTTGTATATTAGACTAGCTTTCGCCCCCGACACGCCTTCATTTACGCCCAAGTCAGAGACATGTTAGTTTTTAAATGACATGTGTTTTGATATAAATTATTTTTATTAACCTTCAAAGTTGATTATCTTTTTTACTAGCACAAAGTTTCTTGTATGTTAGACTAGTTTTCGCCCTCGACTTGCCTTCATTTACGCTTAAGTCAGAGACATTTAATTAATTTCTTTTTTCTTTGTATATGCCTATAGTTGCCCTAGGTTGTGTTGTTTATATATATAAGCGTTTATCCCTTTTTAATATCTCGAAGGATAATGTTATTGGCTCTTGTGCATTACTTAAAATTGTGTTTTGAGCGACTTTCGTTAAGTTACAGCCTCTAAAACAAAGGTTCGAAACCTTTCGATACTCTAGAGCACATTCTAAAATATCAGTAGAGTGGCAGGTATATCTATACTAATATAACAGTGGGAGTGTCCGCTTTAACATCTTAGCACTGTAGAGCCGGCACGCCCCCAGTAATACCACGACCACACAGAAGACAGGCGTGAAATGGAAGCAATTCCATGTTTTGATGAGTGTGGTGCCGGCGGCCTAATTTAAGTCGCTTTCTCTTTACCACCCTTATTTTATAAGGAGAGTATGGGAAGGGAAACTGGATTTGACGGTGGAGGAGATAAGGGAAATATCCCCTTTATGTGCGTCTCCTCCTTCGTCGGATAAGGGTAGGCAACGTATCTGCAATTGCGGATGTCTATGGGCAGCGGTCGCTTCGCTATTTTGGCGGATTCAGGTGGCCGCTTGCGCGTTTGCCATCTTATGTTAAAAAAAAAACAAAGACGAAAGATTTGTATTTTTATATGTATTGAAATAACTCAAAAACTACTGGGTCGATTTCAAAAATTCTTTCAATATAAGAAAGGCAATTTATCTGTACCATAGGCTATATTTTTTAATTTCACGCTGACGAAGTAAACTATAAAATAATATGTATTTTTGCAGCCCAACGGTGTTATAATTGACAACGGTGTTGGTGGTGGTGTGGTCGGCAGTGGGGACGCGGGCGTGCATCGTCCCCCAGTCTATCCCGTGCATATACAGAGGGGGCATATTCCAGGTGAGTTAAATACGCATTTATGTGTCTTGTGAACAAAGAGATTCAGATATAGAGTAGGCATAGTTGACACTTCACTTAAAACATTTTTAATAAAAACTAACGCTATTGATAGATCAAAATATGTCAGTGTTTCTTTAGAGTAAGGATGGGAAGGAAAAGTGGATTTGATGGTGGAGGAGACGCATAGAAAGGAAATGTCCTCTTTATGTGCGTCTCCGTCAATGAAGGTAGGCAGCGCTGCAATAGCAGATGTTTATGGGCAGCGCTCACTTACCATTTCGGTGGATTCAGGCCGCTTGCTCGTTTGCCATCTTATATTATAAAAAAAAACTATAAATGCGAAAGTTTAGATGGATGTTTGTTAGAGTTTGTAGCCTAAACTGCTGAACGGATTTCGATGAAATTTGGTTTAGATGTAGAGGATAGCCTGGAAGAACACATAGGCTACCCACTTATTTTTAATTCCACGCGAACGGAGTCGCGGGCGAAAACTAGTGTGAAATAATTGTTTTTTCGTAGGCTACGTGATGGCGGAGGCATACTACCCCGCGTACCCGGCGCCCCCTGCGCACCCTCCTCACCCCGCGGCGCCTGACGACTTCGCTGATTACATGTGGATGGAGAATGAAGAGGAGTTCGATAAACAGGTCAGTATATCTGTCTCTTTCACACATTGTCTATTTTATACTAATACTAGCTATTGCTTGTGATTTCGCTCGCGTAAAACTAGAAAAAATATGATAATGTAGCTTTTTAGTGGTGCAAGAATTTTTGAAATTGTCCCAGTAGTTTTTGAGTTATTTCAATACTTGTTATTTTAGTTATTTAACAGTGGTAGAGCACGCTTTAGCATCTTCGCACGAATGGGCCGGCTCGCCCGGTGTAATACCACGACCACACAGAAAACAGGCGTGAAGTGGAAGCAATTCCGCGTTTCGTCTGATGAGTGTGGTGCCGGAGGCCTAATTTAATCCCTTTCCCTTTCCACCCTTTTCTTGAGAGGAAAGGATGGGAAGGAAAAGTGGATTTTACGGTGGAGGAGACGTATAGAAGGGGAAAATTTCCTCTTTATGTGCCTCTCCTCTTCCGTCAATGAAGGATGGGCAATGCATCTGCAATTGCGGATGTTTATGGGCAGCGGTCGCTTTCCATTTCGGTAGATTCAGGTGGCCGCTTGTTCGTTTGCCACCTTATATTATAAAAAAAAAAACATACAAAAATATAAATCTTTCCTCTTTATGATATTAGTATAGAAATATGATTTATTCGATAATGTACTGTAATTGATATCTTACATAAAAAGTAGTGTGTTTACGTTTTATTATATATATAGTACAACCTCGATAACTCAAGGCTCGGTAACTTAAAAACCTCTATAACTTCAAATAATATGTTCCCTTCCTATCAGAGCTCAAAACCTACAACATAGACCCTTGATAACTTAAAACCTCTATAACTTAACATGTTTTGTGTTTCCCTTGGATTTTAACTTATCGAGTTTCTACAGTATTTGTATTTTTGTGTGTATAGAAAAAACTCAAAAACTACTGGCTCATTTCAAAAAATTCTTTCACTATTAAAAAACATGTCTTCACTGAATAACATAGGCTATGTTTTTTATTTATTTTTTAATTTCACGCGGACTAAGTCGCTAGCAATAATTAGTTATATGTAAAAAGTTTGTCTCGCAAAAAACAAGACAACTCAAAGTCCGCGGATTTCCATAACTGTACATTTGTGTGTTTTTACTATTTTTTTCATATTTTTTATATACCAGGTTATGCAGCAGTTGGAAGAGGAGGCTCTGATGGAGCAGTGCATAGAGGCGATGTTGGAGGATGAACAGAGAGAGCGACAAAGGCCTGTCGCTAATGGACATAATCATTTCCCTACGTAAGTATCGAAAAAAAAAAATAAAAAATTATTGACTTTGATAAAAAAAAGTCAAAAAAAAATTATTGACTTTGATGTGAATATTAGTGTCGCAAAATTCACATTAGAGTCAACATTTTTTTGATTTTTTTATATCAAAGTCAATATTTTTTATTTATTTTTTTAATAAAATCTAAAGGATTAGTGTCACAAAATTCACATCAATGATGTATTGTAAATTATTGATTTTTTTGGCGTAAGTTTGACGAAGTGTTAATGCTTTTGGGTAAAAAAACTCGTTTTTAAAAAAAAAAAAAAACTAAAAAACATACAACGCCATCTAACATTAAAACCTTTACAAATTTTACATCAATAATTTATTATTTCTATTTTCATTTAGATTTATTAAAAAAAGCCTTATTTTCACCTGAAATTTATTAAAAAATGAAATTTTTTTCGCTTTCCAGTACAAGTAACGGTCAACCAATTTGTTCATTAGAAGAAGCCGTTTCAAGATCTACCCTCAATCCGTTAGCTGCGGAATTTGTACCAACGAGGGTTGCACCCCCTCCACCCCCAGGTATAAAGATTTATATTTAACTGAACACAAAGATAAAATAACTCAAAAACTACTAAAATGAGAACTCAAAAACTACTGGGACAATTTTTAAACAAATTCTTTCACCATTAAAAAGCTATGTTTTGCATATATTTTTTTAATTTGACACGGACGAAGCCGCGCGCATCAGCTAGTTAATTAATGTTTTGTAACACTGGAAAGATTTTAAAAAATTCTTTCACCATTAGAAAGGAAATGTATGTGTGAGTAACATAGGCTATATTTTTTTTATTATTTCATTAAAATTTTTGATAATAATGTAAATAATTTTTTTATAACAAACTTTACAGCCGAAGAAAAAGCAGATAATAACACGGAAGAGAAACCAGCAGAAGAACTAAAGAGTCCAAAAGAAGTCACACCCCAGACGGAAGTAATCGAGAGTAAAGAAATTGTTGAAGAGAAGAAAACGGAAGGTAGATTGAAAACTAATTTTTTACATAAGTCCTAAAAGATTTGAGATTTACAGAAAAATAATGTCTCTTCAAGGCAAAAGTCATTAAAAAAATGAAGGTTAACAAGTAAATGCCTCAATAAAGCTAAATAATAATAGAATTTAAAAATAATCTAGTGCCTCTGCCTCTATGCTTTGCCTCTATAAGGCAAATAATATTCCTCATAAAGGCAAATTTGTCTTGTAAAGGACATGCCCCATGCCTTGTGTAAAGAACATTCCCCTTTAAGGCAAATAATATGCCTCACAGAGGCAAATATGCCTTATGTGAAGTATGCACCCCATTAAGGCAAATAATACGCCTCACAGAGGCAAATATGCCATGTGTGTAGAACATGCCCCATTAAATAATATGCCTTATGTGAAGTATGCGCCCCATTAAGGCAAATAAAATGCCTTACAAAGGCAAATATCTTTTTTGCCTTCTAGGCATATAATAAATTATTTTTCCACAGTAACACCAGAACAGAGTGAAACACCAGAAGTGAGCGCAGCAGATGTCCAACCGATAGAGAAGAAGAAGGATGTAAAGAAGGAACAGAAGAAGGTTGTGAAGCAGGATGTGAAAGTTAAACCGATAGCTGTGAAGTCTGAGACTAAAGTGCAGAAGAAGAAGGAAGTTAAAAGTGTTAAAAGTGAGACTAGAGTGGAAGAGAAGGTGGAAGATGTTGTTGTGGTGGAGATTACTAAGGTAAGAAATTAAGATAGTAATTAAATAGTAATTGTTTCGCTGTATTGGCGAATTTTGGTGGCTTAATATGTTCCAAAGGCGTCGAAAAATGTGTAATAAACACGTTTTTTCCTGTGATTTTGCAAGGAATTAAAAAAAATAGTTTGTGTTTTTTAAATTATGTTCTTTTGTATAGTAATGTTATATTGAAGAAATAGAGTTGTATGTTTGTAATAAAAAAAACTCAAAAACTACTGGGGAAATTTGAAAAATTCTTTCACCATTACAAAGATACTTTTTTACTGAATGTTATAGGTTATGTTTTTTTATTATATTAGTTTCCTATTAAATAGTAAAAAATTATAAAATAAATCTATAATTCAAAAAACAGTGTTAGAATCTCACTTGACATAACTTTTTTCATTTCTAAGAGTTTTTTTGATGTTATGAATATTTTCTATTAGTTTTATTCAGTTTTTTTGCTTTTTTCTTAATTGAGATTAGGTTTTTTATTATTTTTTTTAAATTTCCAGCAATCCCCACCACCGATTACAGAAGAAGCGCAATCAGGTATAAAACCGATTAATTACGCGGCCGCCGCGAAAGCGAATAAACCCAAAAAATCCACAACACCACCGATAATCGAGAAAATCGTCAAAGAAAAACCTAAACCGATTGAAAAAACGGAAAAAAAGGAAAAAACGCCCATAAAAGATGTCAAACCGAAGACGGAAAAAGCAACCGTGCATAGAAAAAATTCAACCAAGTGATGGTAATGTACAAAATTACAAAAAAAAACTACCATTTTTTGCCGTTTTTTTCGGACAGTACGCGTTTTTTTTCAATTTTTTGTTTTTTTATTTCTAATTAGTGTGTAAAGTTGTGATATCCATCATAAATTAGCATTTTTTTTGCGTTTGGGAAGAAAAAAAATATAAAAAAATATATGCAGTGTAAAAAATTATGTGAATATATGATAAGAATATAAAATTAGTGTTAAATATATTATAGTTTTTATCCCATTTGGAGGACAGTACGCTAGTTTACAAAATGACGGACGTCAGATTAGATTTTAAGTGATTACAATGCAAAATTAATGAAAAAAAAAATTTTTTTTTGACATTTAAAATATAACCTTAAAAAATCATTCAATATTCTGTCGTTGACACTTTTGTGGGTAGATAGAAATATCTCCTTTTTATGTTTAATCCATATTTAATCATATAAAACAATTTTGTGGGTAGACGTAAATAATATGAAGTTTTAAGATTTCATTTCTCTAATGTATACATTTTCATATAAATACCATATTAATATAGTAAATTACGATTTTTGACGATACTGACATCAACACTGATCTCTAATAGACAGGCTATAGTCTTTTGTGCCTATTTTAGTAATTAAAAAACTCTAAAACTAACAATATATACAATTATCAATACAAAATAATTAAAAATATTAATACAGTGAAGCCCGGTTTTAGTATTACGCCCTGGGCAAAATTTCTACAACGCCCTTTACTTAAAAAACCCGCTATTAACATTATGTCCTTGGTGATATATCTACAACGCCTTTACAATAAAAACATACTCGGTGATAACATTACGCCCTGGGCAACATTTCAACAACGCCCTTAATACCCATACAAAACAAAGTCGCCCTTTATATCAGCCGCTCTGGGCGGAATTTCATCTCACACGGTAGGGCAATGGCGTTAGGATAGGACAGTTTCATAAATTAAGCTTATATCCGTCGCCCTGGGCGGGATTCCATCTCGCTCTAACACAGTAGAAAAAGAGCGTTAGAAGACAGTTGTATAAAGGATCTTTATCGTATGTTTTAAGGATCGACGCCCTGTGCAGGTTTTCATCTCAGCCTAACACATTTGTAGAGAAAGGGCGTTGGAATAAGATAGTTGTATAAAGGGGCATTATGTCCGACGCCCTGGGCGGAATTCCATCTCGCCCTAATACATTAGAGAAAGGCAGTTAGAAAAAGACATAAAAAGGGGCTTTATGCCCCACGCCCTGACGGATATTCACCTCGCCCTAACATATTAGTAGGGCGAGGGCGTTTAAATAGGGCGTCAGTTTGTAAACAGCTACAATACGACTGACAGTGGGGCGTTAAAACTCATTTATAGCCCCTTTTTTAATCCCAGTGAGTAAAATGATATTTTGAATGTTGCTTTTTGTGTTGGTATTTTTTTATAGTTTCAAAATTAGGAGATTTCTTTAAAAATTGATTTTCAAATTAAACTTACAGTAAATAATTCCATGATATATTTTATTAGTAGTAATTATTAATGACTAGTTGTTGCTCGCGACTTCGTCCGCGTTGAATATACGTTACTGATAACGTAGCTTTTTTACTGTAAAAGAATTTTGAGTTATTTCAATACATATGATAAAATTGGAGTGTCTGTTTGGAAAATAAAGAAAAAACCCAGATTTCATGAAGATGATGTATTTTCTATTCTGATAATAAAAATCGCATTTTTGTCTGTCTGTCCGCAAGCCGCGTTTGTTCCAAATAATCTCTGTAACAGCTGGACCGATTTTGACCGGAGTTTCACTGAAGGGTACATAGACGGGCATATTATAGGTTCTTTTATCTTAATATTGCATGAACGAAGTCGCGGTCAACAGCTAGTCTATAAATGTTACAAACGATTTTTTTTAAAACCATAAGGTGGCAAACGACCTAGCGGCCACTAGAATCCGCCGAAATGTCGAAGCGACTGCCCATAGACATCCGCAATTGCAGATGCGTTGCCTACCCTTATACGACAGAGGAGATGCACATAAAGAGGATATTTCCCCTTCCTATGCATCTCCACTGTCAAATCCACTTCTCCTTCCCAACCTCTCCTTATAAGGGTGGTAAAGAGAAAGGGACTTAAATGATGCCTCCGGCACCACACTCATCAGTACGCGGAATTGCTTCCACTTCACACCTGTCTGTGTTCGTGGTATTGGGGGCGAGCCCTGCAGTGCTAACATGTTAAAGCGGGCACTACCACTGTTTATTAAGAAATAAGTAATTTTCGTGTTAGGTACTCTAATTCAGTACAAAATATGAAACCTCTCTATTTGAGATCAGTGAATTATTGTGTGTTTTTTTTATATAAATTGTTTGTTTTTATTTGCCTTTTTTTAATAATGTTTGTATATAGTCTTGATAAAATTTAAAAGTTTAAAAATTAACAAAATGTATTCAATTAAATACTAGATTTTTAGTAAATCGTATATCAGTTGATTTAGATAATTTAAAATAAATATACGTTAAAATTAGGGTTGTAACGGAGGTCGCTAACGGAAGCGGATGCGGAGGCGAAGGGCTACCTCTGCGGAAGCGGAGGTCAATGTTATTGCGATTTATTAAAGAAATTAAAATTAAATCTACGTATCTAGTTGACATAACAATACCTAATCGCCCTACTCGAGTTACGTAAATTAACCTCCGTTATAACTCCGCATAAGAAATAACGACAACGTGCGGAGTTAATTTCTTACAGAAGTTCCGTACTTACGGATGCGGAAGCCGAGTTCCGTTACAACCCTAGTTTAAATCAACTAACAGATGTTTTTTAAATAAATATATCAGTATAGGTTTTGAGTCACAGATTATGGGAGAAATAATTTAAAAAATCTTAGTTTCAATAGAAACTATACTTTTGTTTTGTAGTTTTGGCAATAATATGCTTTTAAGAGTTTATGATCCGGTCTCTATAACCAATAACCGATAAATTTATCACCACTATATGTCCCTACCGAGGGGCTCGGAGCCTACCCTAAGTTAGTCACTGCGGCTTGACTTCACACATATCTTTGAATTTCTTCACCGATATGTGCATCACGATGTTTTCCTTCACCGTAAGAACGTCGGGTAAATTATGTACATATGAAAAATCGAAAAATCGAAAATCATTAGTACAGGGTTCGAACCCAAGACCTGTAGATTACAAGTCAAGTGCTAACTGAGCCATCGACACTCTTCCCCTGCCCTTGAGTGAGTTTCTCGATCGATAAATACGGTTTTACTTTTTTAAAATCGTCTAAATCAACTAATATAACGATTCACTTTTTACATTTTTTAGTATATAAAATTTACTATTTCCCAAACTTTAAAATTTTCTATAGAAAATGCAATTATCGTCTTGTAGGTGAGTTTTAATAAATGTAGATTTGTACTATAGATGTTTTTGACAATTTAACAACTGTCATATTGTAAGGAATTTGTCCCAATACGGCCCAATATATCAAAAACGTTAAAACTAAATTTTTTAACATGTTTACTGATTTTTTTTTGTAACAATTATCTCTACGTTTCGGTACATTTTTCATTAAATACGAAATTAAAATAATTTAGCTATTTTATAGGAGAATTCAATAGAAATAGGTAGAAATTGTAAACAATGTCTAAGTACAGACTTATGTCCGGTTTCCTATGTTTAAACAATTGTTAGTGTTGTAATAACTTTGAGATTTCTAAGTAACTTGAGATTACTCTGTAAAGGTCAACTTAACACTATAAAGACAGGTTTTTGTGTTGATTAGAATTTTCCAAAATTCATAGACAAATGACGTATGTGATTTACTAATATTGTCAAAATGGATGGATGTTTGTGGTTTAAAATGCTGGTATTTCGATTGTCACTAGGGATAGTCTGAACAGGGTTTTGGTTTTTTAATACGCGGATGGAGTTGTGAAATATATGCGAATGTTTGGATTAGGGTTGTAGGCCATTTTAACGGAAACGGATGCAGAGGCGAAGGGCTTCACGATAAAACGTAAATTAACCGTTATAACTCCGCATAAGAAATAATGTGAGCGAAAGCGGATGCGGAGCTATCGTTTGCGGAAGTTGCTCACTTGCGGATGCGGAAGCGGGTTTCCGTTACAACCCTAGTTTGACAGATCTGTCATAGATGTAAAATGTAGTCTAGAATCACATATAAGTTACACTTTTTAACCGACTTACCAAAAGAAGGAGGTACTCAATTCGTCTGTAAATTGTTGGCATTGTGTTTGGTATACAAATATCTGTCTATAGAACAGTTTTTGTAAAAAAAATAAATACAACAACTGTATTCATTGAATTTTTTTAAGTGTAACAGAAATTAGAGCGATATAAGCTTATTTCTATTGAATTCAACTATTTTTTTGATATCTCTGATTTGGGAGTTAACTTTTTAATATTGTTTTTCTTTTTAATTGTTTTTCTTAACTCAAAATCGATAGTATTTTTTTAATCTATATTAAAGTTGGTCTTTTAAAGGTTTGCTTAACTTTTTCAATGTTTTCTCACTTACTCGATGTAATTTGCTTTTAAAAAAATCTTAAACGCACGCTAGTGTCATGGGTATTTACTATTAGTCGTTAAGTTTATTGTAGGTTAGCTGTCAGAGTGACGTTTATCTTTTTTAAATATAAAGACACTTGTGGGTTGCCATGTGCGGAAATTGTTCGTGTCGCCCCTCTATGGTATGTTGTAATTTTTGGTAGTTTTAGAAATGTTATAGTTTAGAATATATGACAGTTAGGTTAGTTTGTGACGGCGTACGGGTTTTTTGCTGTTTGGTTAAATTTTCCGTTTTGTGTTTTGAAATTGTTAAAGCAATTTTTTATTTATATAAAAGAATCAATAGAATTGTTCCCTAATTTAAGACTTTTCTGGTTATGTAATATTTTCCCTACAGAGAAGTTAAATATATGTATTTATTGAGTGAAATTGATTTATTATGTACTGTATTTAGTTGGTTTTTTGTTTTTTTTTTCTATATTTTTCTGTACGTCGTCATAGAAGCTCACGTATTATATAAAAATATGTTATAATGTGTATTTCAAATCTTGATTTGTCACAATAATTGACTTTAAAATGTTTATAGACAAATTCCCAATATAATGTAAAATATGTCTGTGTTTTTTTTATACCTACCTTCCTTTTTGGCATATGCACAAAAGCTTTTTTTTAACATAGGTGGCAAACGAGCAAGCGGCCACCTGAATCCGCCAAAATGGCGAAGCGACTGCCCATAGACCTCCGCAATTGCAGATGCGTTGCATACCCTTATACGACAGAGGAGGAGACGCACATAAAGAAGATACGTCCCCTTCCTATGCATCTCCTCCGTCGTCAATCCACTTCCTCTTCCCATACTCTCCTTATAAGAAAGGGGTGGTAAAGAGAGAGGGACTTAAATGTGGCCTCCGGCACAACACTCATCAGACAGTACACGGAATTGCCTCCACTTCACGCCTGTCTTGTGTGGTCGTGGTATTACTGGGGGCGTGCCCTGCAGTGCTAAGATGTTAAAGCGGGCACTACCTCTGTTAGTAAAGCTTTTATAATCTAAGCTTAAAAACACCAAGATATTGAAAAATACATTTAGAAGTGGAATAACGATGGCTGAGATGGTCTATTTTTTCACTATTTTTTACAATTTTTTTTACGTCAGATATGGTTGTGGTGATATGACGTCACGTATGACACTCCAAAGACGATTCTAATGACGCCTATTTCGACAAAAGCTATACAGTACTTTATAATGTACGAGGTAACAAACATAAAAATGAAACCAACTTCCTAACAAATAACACTGAAAACAAAATACTTCTCAAAAAAGTAATACACTAAAAAGTAACGAAGTAACTCCTTGAGTATGTAAACTTCCCTTATTGTAGCTGTTGTACATGGATGGATGTTTGTAGCCTAAACGGGTGAACGGATCTCTATGAAATTTGGCACAGGTTTAGAGCATAGTCTGGAAGAACACATAGGCTACTTTTTATCCCAAAAATAGTTACGGTTCCCGTGGGATTCATAACGTTGGGTTCGAACGATGCGATTCGAGACATCGTTTCTCGTGCGCACAGCAAAGAAGTGGAATAAGTTGCCGGCGTCAGTGTTCCCGTCAAATTATAACGTGGGTGCCTTTAAGAGCAGGGTGAATTAGTACTTACTAAACTAGCGCGTACTATCCTTCGACCACATCTTCACCTTGGTCTAGGTGGGATAGTGGTCAAGCGCTGGTTTTTACAATTAAAAAAAAATAGTTTTTTAATGTTTACTCGATCATTCTGCAACGGTTCAACATATCTTATTGAAATGTGGCACAGATCTGAAACAAAGTGTGGAGTACACATGGGATAAGCTCCATTCCCGAGAAATGTCCGGTTTCCCGAACGCAGCTTTTTGTTATTTCTATAGTTCGTATGTTTTCTAATACCATGCGGACGACGTCGCGGGCAACTGCTAGTGGGCTATTTTTATATTATTTTTAATATCTCGCTGACGATGTAGGCAGGCAACACAGCTAGTTTTTTACCGAAAAAACTATTTTCAAACCTTTGAAAGGGTCTTTTCTTAAATTTTTCTTTCATTCTCATTAGACTATCTTAAAAAATTACTAGCTTTTACGTGTCTAATAAAAAACATATTTTATCTCAAAAGTTAATAAATAAAACGACGAATTAAAAAAGTTCATTTATTAGAAGTAACTTCATTTTAATATTTACATTACTTAATTCTAACTTAATGTAACTTATCTATTGAATATATATTTTTTATGACTAAAATTCGTATAAAACTAGAAACAAATCTAGACAGTTAAAAAGGGAACAAAATAATCGAGATTTTATATCTAAAAAGAGATCTCATGCAAAATACATTTTTATTCATATTAATTACAAGTAAAATTCGATAAAAACTTAACTACACAAGTAAATCTACACTATTATTATAAAGAGTAAAGATTTTTATTTTTTTATGTATTTTTTTTTTTTTTTTTTAATCTTACTTAGGTAAAGGGGATTTTTGTCTAGGGAAAGACATGTCAATCCCATAGTGCTGCTACTAGATCCTAAGTAACGAGCTGGCATAATCGTACAGCCGCTTCAGATGCTGGCTCAGCCAATATTGACATAATTATGCCTACATCGGACGGGTTGAGCTTTAGCTCCCGGAAAATTAGCTCGCGCTCCCGTCTGTTTCTCTCACACTCCAACAGCAAGTGTTGGATATCTTCTGGTTTTCTGCATATCTCGCAATTAGGCGACAGGTTTTTTCTCATCAGATATCCAAAACTTGCTGTTGTTTTTATGTATTGAAATAACTCAAAAACTACTGGGACAATTTTAAAAACCTTTCACCATTTTAAAGGTAATTTATCTGTGAGTAACATAGGCTATATTTTTAATAACTTAGATATTGCAAAACAGGTTAATTTTAAAGATTTTTTCCTACATAAAAATTGTACCAAAGCCGAATTTTTTCCATATAATTTACATTATTCAGCACTAATCATTTCTAACTCAACTATACTTCCTTTTACAATATCACTAGTCACATTATAAACGGAATTATAAAATACCAATGTCGTCAAATAAGTTTTTTTAATACCATCTATAAATATTTCTTACTAAAAAACTCAAAAACTACCAGGGTTATTTAAAAAATTCTTTCAAAATTAGAAAACTACACTATCTCTTATAAAATATATTTAGTACTAAATTTTATGCATCTTCGATTACATTAATTTTAACTATTGCAAAGAATTTACAACAAGACTGAAAAATCGTAGAAAACAACTAAAATTTAATTTCAAACTTAGAATTTTTAACATCAAATATATAAAAATACAATAAACAATAGGAAAAATAATAACATTTGGTAAAAAACCAACTCAAGGTGACAAATTTCACATAAAAATCCCTCCCAAGTTAAGTAAAAACTTCCATTAAGTACAAAAACCCTCCTAAGTTGAATAATTAGAGTCCTCCGTAAATTTACTTGGGTCTACAAAAGTAACACACCAAGGTTCATCTGACGATTCAATCTTATCATCACCCAACTGGGGTTCACACAACTCAACTGGGTTCCCACATTCAACTGAGTTTTCACTTTCAACAGGGTTCTCATATTCAACTGGGTTCTCACTTTCAACCGGGTTCTTTCCTATCAAACCGACCAACTCTTCGTATTTCTTCTTCTGTTCTTCCGTCATCGTTGCTGGATTATGGTATTTCAAATGATAGTTTAAATGGCTACTTTGTTTGAATCTCTTATCGCAGATACCACATTGGAATGGAGATACATTTGTATGTGTTCTCATATGTTGTTTCAAATGTACAGATTGACAGAACGTTTTATTGCAAATAACGCAACGGTACGGTCTAACTTTCGTATGTATTCTGAAATGTTGCTGTAAACCCGATTTCTGTGTGAATGTTTTTGTGCATATTGTGCATGAAAACGGCCTATAACCTGTGTGCATACGTGTGTGTTGTTGCAAACCACCTTGTTGTGTGAATCTTTTATGACATATTGTACATTCGAATGGTTTTAATTTGACATGTGCTTGACTACTGTGATCGGATAATTCCTTGTTGGTTTGAAAACCTATACCACATACCTGGAAAGAGAAATTTAAATCGTATATATCTATACACTAAGGGACATAGTAATTTTAACCCTTATATAGATGAAGTTTCAATATACCGGGGTTATAAATCACATTGGGCTACAATCGATTTTTTTATATAATATGAGGTTGCAAACGAGCAAGCGGCCACTTGAATCCGCTGCACATAGACATCCGCAATTGCAGCGCTGCCTACCGTTCATTGACGGAGGAGACGCACATAAAGAGGACATTTCCCCTTCCTATGCGTCTATGTCAAATCCACTTTTCCTTCCCATCCTTTCCTCTTAAGAAAATGGTGGAAAGGGACTAAAATTAGGCCTCAGGCACCACACTCATCAGACTGTACGCGGAATTGTTTCCACTTCACGCCTGTCTGTGTGGTCGTGGTATTGGGGGCGAGCCCTGCAGTGCTAACATATTAAAGCGGGCACTACCACTGTACTGTATCAGCAGGTTTATAATTTTGACTGATAATCTTCAAGTTAGAAAACAAAAACGAGTATATCACGAAACTATATAAAAATATCGTTTTTTATACTACATTTCCTCTTTAGTAAAAAACACAGTAAAAGGTACACTTATATATTTTGTAATTCGATTTTAAAAATCAGGCTTTTGAGGGTTAAATTATTATATGTATCTTTAATTTATTTAAAAATTAAGGTCTCATCCATTTTAATTATAAAATTACGAGATAGACATTAAGGTCAAACTCCTAAAAACATTTCATACAAAAGATTAAATTTATAAATACTTGGTACTCTAAAACTCAATAACAGCTGAACGGATCTAGATGATATTTGGCATACACATAGAATACTATCTCAAATATGTCATAGGTATTTTTTTTAATTCAAAGCATACAATAGATTAAAAAATACTTGGTACCCCAAAACTCAATAAAAGTAGAACAGGTCTAGATGAAATTTGACATACAGATTACTATCTCAAATATGTTATAGATATTTTTTTTATTCAAAGCATACAATAGATTAAAAATACAAAATAAAAGTCATCACTTAACATTTTCATACAAAAGTTTAAATTTAAAAATACTTGGTACCCCAAAACTCAATAAAATCTGAACGGATCTAGATGAAATTTAGTATACACATAGATTACTAACTAAAACAGTGATTCCCAAAGTGGTTTTTATCAATCCTAGGGGTCTGACAACCTGCAAGGGTTCTACGTAAGCGAAAAAAAATTGGGGGTCCATGAAATGGAAACAGGGGTCCACAATAGTAAACCTCAATACAAACACTGATAGTACCTATTTACTCACATCATACTTATAATATCAAAACATATACATTATTTATTTTGAATAGTTTAAATTTCAATTCAGGTAATCATACTAATATTATGAATGCGAAAGTTTAGATGGATGGATGGATGGATGGATGTTTGATAGCGTTTGTAGCCTAAACGGCTGAACGGATCTCTATGAAATTTGGCACAGGTTTAGAGCATAGTCTGGAAGAACACATAGGCTACTTTTTATCTCGGGAATAGTTAGTTCCCGTGGGATTCATTAATTTAGTTTTTTAATGTTTACTCGATCATTCTGCAATTTCAACATATCTTATTGAAATTTGTCACAGATATAAAACAAAGTGTGGAGTACACATGGGATAAGCTTCATCTCAGAGAAATGTCCGGTTCCCGGGATACGTAGCTTTTTGTAATTTTTATAGTTTGTATGTCTTCTAATACCACGCGTACGAAGTCGCGGGCAACAGCTCGTTCAAATAATAAATTTACATGTGTTTTCTCGTTAATTTTTTAACAGTAAACTTTACTACAGTTAGGAGACAGTAAATCAATATCAGGTAAGTAGAGGGTCTACACAACAGGAAAAAACATGGCAAGGGACAAAACAAAAAAGTTTGGGGAACTCCAATCTAAATTACAATACAGATTAAAAATACAAAAATAAAACTCACCCCACAACTGTATAAAGCTTGAGGGTCTACAACAGCATTTAAAGGTTTCTCACAAACTTGACAGCGAAGACCTTTCCTTCTTCTTGTATGCTCATCTCTGAAGTGAGCGGAATACTCACAGCATGAGAAGAATATCTGGTGACAGGTTCCTTCTGCCACCAGGGTCGAAGGTTGGAGACACTCGAATGGACCACTGCGTAGACAATCAGTTGAAAAAACAAAAGTTTTATATTATGAGATGGGAAAGAAGCAAGCGGCTTGAATCCACCGAAATGTAAAGCGACCGCTGCACATAGACATCCGCAATTGGAGCGCTGCCTACCCTTCATTGACGGAGACGCACATAAAGAGTACATTTCCCCTTCCTAAGCGTCCCCTCCACCATCAAATCCACTTTTCCTTTCCATCTTTTCCTCTTAAGAATAGGGTGGAACGGGAAAAGGACTAAAATAAATCCTCCGGCACCACACTCATCAGAGTGTACGCGGAATTGCTTCCACTTCACACCTGTCTGTATGGTCGTAGTATTGCTGAGAGCCCTACAGTGCGAAGATGTTAAAGCGGGCACTACCACTGTTAAAAAATGTGAAGGGGAAGTTGATTGAGATGCATAGAAAGGGGAAATATGCTCTTTTTGTCCATCTCCGTCTATTAAGAGGGCTGAAGCTTCGCCATTTCGGCGAACTATTGCTCTAAAAAATAATTCTGTATTACTTACGTAATAGGCTGCGGGTCTCTCTCTTTCTTTGGAGTCATAACTTTCTGCTTCTCAATTTTCTCCTTCTCGATCTTTTCCACTTTCTTCTTCTTCGGAGCTTTATCTTCTGGGCCGTCTTCTGATTTCACTATAATATAACTGACATCTTCCGAGGCTAATTTAGTTATACTTGTCGGAGTCATTGATGCTATTAACTCTTTAGTTTTCTCTTCTATACTTCTTTCTTCTATTTTAGGTTGTGATCGTGTTTTAGGCTTGAAAGATGTTTAATTTACTTGTTAAGAAACTCAAAGATATGTAGAAGTCAACAGGCAGTGTAGTGCCTACTAATATTATAAATGCGAAAGTTTAGATGGATGTTAGAGTTTGTAGTCTAAACTGCTGAACGGATTTCGATGAAATTTGGTATAGATGTAGAGGATAGTCTAAATCACATAGGCTACTCACTTTTATTTTTTTTAATTCCACGCGGACGGAGTCGCGTGCAAAAGCTAGTAATGCATTATTTTCTTTATATTATAAGAAGGCAAATTAGCAAGCGCCCTGATTGCTCCAAAATGGTTATTAGAAAAGGATGGTAAGGGAACGTGGACTAGACGGTGGAAGAGATACACAGGAAGGGGAAAAATCATCTTTATGTGCGTCTCCTCCGTCAATTAAGGGTAACGCATCTGCAATTGAGAATGTCTATAGGCAGTCGGTCCACCATTTTCGCAGATTCAGGTGGCAGCTTGCTTGTTTGCCACCTTTTTAAACAAAGAAGGGAGTGATAGAGTTATTTATAAAAAACGGTGCCTCGGTAGTAATATAGAGGAGAGAACTTACAGTTGTCATTGTCCATAATGCTGGATCTCCATTAATATATATCTCAGTGTGTTCCATCCGAGCATGGTTCCTCAACGCTACTTCGCTCACAAAATTCTTGTAGCAGATCTGACAAGCCACGGTGTCCTCATCTTCATCATCAGAGATCTCTTTCTGTAAAGAATCTTGCTAATATTACAAATGTGAAAGTCTAAGATGGAAGTTTGTTTCAGTTTGTAGCCTAAAATGAACAGTGGAATTTTGCTGTAGAATAGTCTAGAACAGTGATTCTTAACCACTGTGCCGCTTTTGTGTGCTGCCAAATTTTGCATATTTATGTCATAAACTATTTATGCAGTGTGTTGAAGTTTTTTTTTTATAATACAAGGTGGCAAACAAGCAAGCGGCCATCTGTATCTACCGAAATGGAAAGCGACCGCTGCCCATAAACATCGTTATTTGCAGATGCGTTGCCTACCCTTAATTGACGGAGGTGGAAACACACATAAAGAGGACATTTCCCCTTCATATGCGTCTCCTCCACCGTCAAATTCACTTTTCCTTCCCATCCTTTCCTCTTAAGAAAAGGGTGGAAAGGAAAAGGGACTCAAATTAGGCCTCCGGCACCACACTCATCAGACGAAACGCGGAATTGCTTCCACTTCACGCCTATTTTCTGTGTGGTCGTAGTATTACATTGGGCGAGCCGGCCCATTCGTGCAAAGATGTTAATGTGGGCTCTACCACTGTTCAAAGTAAGTAATTAAAATTTCGATATTGTTAAATATGTGCCACAACAGAAAGGTTGAAAATCACTTGTTTATAGGCTGAGGGAGAAGACATGAAGGAAGTTGAGCGAGGCGACACAAAGACAACCCAATAACAGAATAGATATACGATGCTGATGGGATTTCACTGGTCTAAAATACTTACAGCCTTACAAATAAATGCAGTATAAAGTTATACTTAGGAATAAATTGGGCATAAACAAAATTTGTACAAATATTTACTTATACTTAGTTTATTCTTAAGTTTAACTTCATACCACAATTATTTATAAGGCTGATAGGCTATTAAGTTCTTTTAATCCATACTTAAAATTATGAAAAGGAAAGATTTGTATTTTTTATGTATTGAAATAACTCAAAAACTGGGCCGGTTTTAAAAATTCTCTCACCATTAGAAAGGTAATTTATCTGTGAGTAACATATGCTATATTTTTTAAATTTCACGCGGGCGAAGCCGCGAGCAACAGCTAGTTCTTTATACAATTAAAATCATACTTTAGCAAGTGTTCATGTCTTTGTTTCACAGTAATAAAGGCAATTAGACAGTAAATGAATGAAAACTTACCCTAATCTTAGGCATTGGTACAATATTTACAGTTCTAACTGGAGTAGACATCTGAAATAATATTTGATAACATTAACACCTACAGACATTAAAATTAGGCATGTTTCATATACGAGTTCTTATATTATTGTTCTAGTCGCTTGCATATATAAATTTATCAAGAAAATCGCCTATTTTACTATTTTTTAGCAATACTTGTAATAATACGCGATTCAGTTAAACATTATCTAGCGAAATATTCCGCCCATGGCTTTATTTTCATTGCTCTGACATTACATGCGCAGTAGTAATATTAAAGCTATCCGAATAAAAGCGCTTTTCACTTAATATTAATAATAATTGAGCAATTTCACTTCAAAATCGCACCAAAACAGCGGGAAACAAAAAATGACAAAATAACTTTTTAATATTTCGGTCACAGTGATATTTCACAAACAGAAAAACTATAATTGATTCCATTATTTTTTTAGAAACAGTTTCTTGTTAAAAGTAAAGATGAAAGCCCAAATTATTGAGATAATACAAAATATTTACCTTTAAAACAAAATTTTATCCGTACCGTCAGACAATAGAGAGGCGTTTGTTTTTTTTTAATTAAAAAAATAGAATCGTTCAAAAAAAGAAAAAAATTAAAAACTATGGTGAATCACAAAACGTCAGATTGACACAATGCTTTATTTTTAATTTCCCGATCAATAAAGTCGTACTCAGAAAATGAAAAATATTAAAAGATTTAAAATATCACTGTTAAGAGATATCGGTTAATAGTTATTTCTTTATAATGTAAAGCAGTGCAAAGCCGCCATTTCGTATTTCTAGTTGCGTACACAAGTAGATTATAAATCAAAACATTGTCTATGGCAGGTACGAAAATAAATAATGAAAAAATATTTGGATTCTTACTAATTTGCCGATAATTAAGCAATTAAAATTAAAACTTCCAAATGCTATTCAAAATATCCAAAAGATAATATCGAATAAAGTCACTAATAGGCATAAATTATTAATAATTATTTTCCCGCTTTATAATAACTTTGGTAGGCTAATGAGTGTTGTCAGACTTTTGGTAGAATTCTCAAAAAGTAGTAAAAGGTAAGTTTAATCAATATAATAGTAACTAAGATAAAACTAATCAGCTCCAAAAATGGCCACAAAAGCAACCACAATAAAAGACGCTATTAAGCGATGGGAAGAAAAAACTGGCCAACATGCTGCAACAGCCACAGAAGTGAGTTTCATTTTTCAATGGCCACCTATAGAAAAAATGGATAACTCTTTATCCTGTCTTGCAAATTGCGAGTAAGTTATTCGTGCGATCATTAATTAAAAAAATAAATACTCTAATCGGATTTAAAAATTTAAATCGTATTTTTTTCGTAGGAAATTGAGTTTATCAACAAACATGATTGAAAAAGTAACTGGCTTGAACAGTTTGAAGAAGCTTCGTATTTTATCTTTAGGAAGAAATTACATTAAATCTTTTGCTGGCATGGTATTACTATTCTTTGATAAGCTGTGATATTATTACCCGCTTAGATGCCTTTGCCCACCTTTGCCATCAGCATCACCCCTTAGGAATCAAAAACATTTAGAATATTTTTTCCATATTTCTTTAAAATGTTAATCATTAAATCTTGTGAAATAATGTTTATTAGCTAGTCTGCTCATTAAATAAAGTGTTTTATTTTAACTAAACGTCTTAAAGGGTTAAAACATGTTATCCGCTGGCTTTTTAGCGCCTTTTTTCACAATAATATAGATTTTATCTTGTAATTACCTGTTATTATTGTTATTCAAGTAATAAAATCGACTAAAAGAGGTTAATACATCTAAATCACAGGAACCCTTAGGCGACACGCTAGAAGAATTATGGATATCATATAATTTGATTGAAAAATTGAAAGGTATCAACGTTTTAAGGAATTTAAAAGTATTGTATATGAGCAATAATTTAGTTAAAGAATGGAGCGAATTTAATAAACTGCAGGTAAAATATTTGTAAAGATAATATCTTTAAAATTTTAATATAGTACAATCTCTTATTTTTTTTATTAATTAATTTTAGGAGTTACCGAATTTAGAAGATTTATTATTTGTTGGCAACCCTCTGTACGACGCTTGTGAACTTGAAGCATGGCGCGCGGAGGCGGCGCGAAGATTACCACAGCTTAAAAAACTCGACGGTGAAACTGTACTGAGAGATGACGGACCTCCTTTAACTGTAGCCGACATGCAGGTAACGTTAGTACTTATAAATTAAAAAATTTAAGGGAAAAACTCGTAAATAAAATGCATATAAATTTCAGCCTGATGGTGGCGATGCTGTAGAAACATTGGTGAGCGCCGAGAAGAATGACTAAAACGAGAAAATCTACGAATAAACATACAAAAATGACACCTGTTTTTCCAAGCTATATAAAAAATAAGAATGTTTTTGATGTTTTCATTAGAAAAACAAGTAATGTTACAACTAGAATATATGAAATAGAAATGACATGACAGAAAACGTCTTTTATTTTCTTTTCCCTGCTTCACAAAACTAATGACTGTAGAACTAATAAGTAGGGCGTCAGAGTTAAGTCATAGACGAGTACGTTTCTACAATTTTTATTACAAAACAGTACAATAGCTTCTCATGGTTTTGCGGGTAGTAGTCGAGCCGCCATGTCCCCTCCCTTCGCCTGCAGCGGTGTAAACTTATCCCTGTCTTGTTCGCTCAGAGCACGAATTGAAAAAAATGGACTACCGGGCTCCGAAACTGAAATAAATTTTCGTTTAAATTACGGTAAACCAGAACATATCTGCGAAGAAATTTAAAGATATGTGTAAATCCACACAAATTAAAAACTAACCAGTATCTTTGTTATCCATATCAGCAGAACTAAACCGTTGTTTCATAGGCGATTTAGGTCTTTCTACAGATCTCCTGTGAAAGAGAGATTAATAGGAAATAATCAATGATCGGTTTAAAAATAATGTAGTTATTGAATTATTGCGTTTCTTTTCAATACCAATTGATGCAGATTTTCGAAAATACTTTATTGCGATCGCAGCGCCACATAACATGCAAAATTACTGTCAAGAATGTATTGTTTAAAGGAAACCATAAATAACCAATCTCATAATATTCTTGTTTTAATTAAGTTATTAAAGGTAATTCTCACGGGTTAACTGTAATTTTCTTTTGATTGAATATGCCATATTTGAGATGTGGTGAGCAAACTGCTGATGGTGCTTCTATTTTGAGATTTGACAAGTCTGTGTTGCCAGGTGATCTCCTAAAGAAATTAACAACTACTATACGTGTACAGTAACATAACATGTAAACATGTTGATGTCAATTAAGTTCTAATTCTTAGACACTAACACTGGAGTTAAATTTCTCAGTACATTGAGTGTGTGTAATTTCATAGCTGATTGCTACGTTATTATAATTAGCTCTTACGGTGTCCCATGCGATGAAGTCTTGTCTATTCTACCCTGTTGGATATCCGATGTACTACTCAGCCATGACTTACAATATGGGCAAGGAGGTTTCGCACTGAAAAGGTGGATGGTCTATAAAATTAGTAGGGAAAATTTTACAAATGACTTCGCATCAAATACTACAGGGAAAAATACCATATGATGAGTCTGCAATCTTTCGAAACACACAAAATTCCATAGATCTTTCTCAATGGCCAATCGGAGGGGGGGGGGTCCTCGGGGTCATGATCCCCCTGAGGTGATTGGTCAAGAGCTAGACAAAATATTTATATACTTTGTCAAGCTCATGACTTGATCACAGCTATGTGACATCCCCCTAGCGCCAAAAGCTGTATCCGCCTTTGATCTTTCTAGATGAATCTAGAAAAATGTTATACATACGCATTGCCTTTGCCCTTCTGACTGCCCTTCTTTTCTATTATTTCAGCATCAGTGGTTCTGTTGTGGCTCCATGATTTTGATGAACATTTTGAAGCACTGGCATAAAAGAAACGAAATAAAATTACAAACATATTTTTAAAAGAGTAAATCCTCTTTTTGGTCAACTAAAATGATGATAAGATTCATGGATTTTTCTATCGCTTTTAAAAGCTACCCTAAGCTAGTACGGTAAATACAAAAGCTGGTTTCTGATTTTTACTAAGAATTTTGGTACCCGATTAACATTATGGTCGGTAAAACACTTAAATTATACATTCTGCCAATCCCTTTTCTACTCTTATTTTCGTATATTATTCTGTGATTGACAGATCCTAACATTGCTTTATAAAGTGGTATGAGGCAATTATTGATAAAAATGTTATTTTGTAACTTACTTAGAATTCGTTTTATCCATGATAAGCGTTATTTCATTAACGTGTTGAAATTTTTACCGTTTTTTAAATCACGAAAAATGTAAACATGACGGAATACAATTTTGAAATAAAATGGCGTTTTTAGAAGATTTATTCCTCTGTTCTGACAGTTTTGTGCATGTTCTTTCAATATTGTAATAATTGAAAACTTTTTTGTCATTTATTTGTAAATTCTTGGTAATCTAAATAATAATTATTCTCAGACTAGTATGTAGAAAACTTTGTTATTCATTTTAATTTTGACGAATTAACAAGAAAATGATTCTAAAAGTTATGAGGAACCTTCAACACAGTTATTACATGCGTGAAGTATCTTATATGAAGATTGTTCTTCGATTAATGATGCAACTAAATCATAAGACTTAGGGGTCCTTCAATAAAAAAAAGTTGGGTAGGAAATAAAATTTGCTTCTGGCAACATTGAGTGACTTTTCCTTTTAAGTATTATTCTGGAAATATTATACCGAGCATTTTTTATCAGATATATTGTAAGGTCTTCAGCGCTTGTCTTATTTTAAATAACCAAATAATAATATGTAAACATCAATATTTCATCTTGAAAATTATTAAAATGTAAACTGGTAAGCGTCAGACAACTTGTTGACATATTGCTAAAATTAGCTTTGTTCATATTACGTGTTATAGTGATGTGCGTAAACACAACATTTAAAAATCGATTACACAAATCGTCACAAATCGATTTAATTCTTTAAAAATTCAAATACAAAACTAGATGCAAACATTAGAAAAGATCTTAATAAGTAACTCGATGATTAATTTTAAAAATATGTTATTCCTAACCAAGCTTTAGCTTGAGAATTACTTTTGTTACTTAATGAATATAAAACATTGAATGTTCAATCTGCGGTTCTAATCATTTCTTTATTGTAGATTATTTAAGAAAACGTCAATTTCTACATAATAATGCACATACTAGAACTTATAAATCTTTAGCAATCAAATAACATTATTACAATATTAACAAGCAAAATTAACTTAGCTTGTTAATTTTACCTATTGATTGTTCCAACAACAAAAATCGTATGTTGAATTGAATCGATATACAAATCGACTTAAAATTATTCGCAACTACAACACTAGTAATAATTTCCCTACATCAGTTGTATACATCTGTTGTTTGTGTGTGTAAACGTCAGATTTCCAGGAATCTCGCCTGGCCGCGGAGCCTCGGTGCCTTGATTTGGAAACCGTTCGATACAGGTGTTATTTAGTGCCCTGGAGATATGAACCCACCCTTTTTCTTTTATCCAACAAGGATAAATATATTATAAACATTTAAAAACTTCGGTTACGTTATCTCTAAAGGGTTTTCCTTATCGCATGTATAAGTAATTTTTCTTAACTATAATCGTTCTTCTTGGAATCGTGAACTACGCATATTGAATAGAGGTGAGTTGCTTAGTTATTTTAAATACATTACTATTTAATTATCTGTGTTATAAAGTTATATCCTTGTTCATGTTTGTAATCTATTTTTAATACGGTTTTTTTTAATATACAAGTTAGTTTACGATCACCGGTTAAAAAGGTTAAATGGACATTTTAGTAAGATTCTTATGAAAAACATAACAGTATATTGACATACTGCAAATATTGTAGTTTTTGAGTTTATAAAAAAACATATCAAAAGGTTATTCTGTCTTGTCAGTTATTTTTAGCATATAAATGCAGAAGTTTAGATGGATGTTTGTTACAGTTTGTATTCTAAACTGAATGGATCTCGATGATTGTCATATAGAGTCTGGAACACATAGACTACTTGTGATCCCGGAAAAAAATACTCTTTGCATAGAATATACTAAAGTAATAAAGCTACTGATATAATAAAGTGTAAACACACACTACTTTGTTGCCTAAGATGTCAGCAATTACAGTATATTTTTGAACAATTTTTATTTTAATAAAAAGCCTTATACTTATGTCACACTTTAGGCTATATATTTTAACACTATTAAACTTAGGGGGTAAATATTTTGGATAAAAACCCTAATATGGGAAAGAGACTATAAGATGCTGCCAACATTGAGAAAGAAAGATTGCTAAGGTTTTTTATGTCATGTCATTTTGACATTTGCTATTGATAATTTGACAAATGTAAACAATGAAATAAAATTTTCATAATTTCATGCGGATGCAGCCGACTGGGAACAGCTAGTACTTAATAATTTAGCAATGCAAACATATCTTGTCAAAAGATAGATATTAAACAAAGTCTTTAACATATAGGATATTATCTTCCACCTTTCACTACTCCCGTAGTGATGCAACAGGTTTTTGTCCTCCACATAACTCTATCCATCATCTCAGTCACTCCCTTCATCTCTTTCTATGTCTACCTCTATCGGTGTACTCATAACTAACATTCTCCTTGTAACATGCAATTCATCATAACATGCCCGTACCATGCTTTTTTACTTTCTATACCACTGGTACTACTCTCAAACTTCTTAAAATGGACATGGGATATTTATTTATTTATTTAATTATTTATTTAAATTAGGCTTATCAACATAATTACATGACATTCATTGATTTCTATTTAGTAATCCAAACACACGTGGCATCATGTAACTACAATTACAGATAAACACATCTTGCTTCAAATACTTAACATGCATAAACAATAATTACATACAACATCCCTTATTTTAAACAAGACAATTTTGTAATAAGTATAAACAAAAAATTATTTTAGTTAAATTAAACAGCTGATTAAAGTTAGCTAATCGTAAAAAAAAAAAAACTATCTACTGTATATAATAGACAAAACATACAAAATTAAAATCAGCTATTAGAATACTAAAACTTAGCAAATCAAAAATAAAACAAACAAATTCATAAAAAGAAATATTAAACGGGATACTAGAGGTCTGCGTCCTTATAAGGATTTAATATATATCATTCATTTTAATATATATGAATATATGATTCATCTTTGAAAAATGTCACCTTAGAATCCTTCAAGATGCATGCCCATCATTTCCTCAAAGGCCGGCAACGGATCTGTAGTTCCTCTGGTGCTGCGGATGTCCATGGGGGATGTTGACCACCTCAGTGTTTTGCCATTCATTTGCCCCTATTTTATTATAATCAAAAAGTCAGGTTCCTGAGGACTATGTAGAATTTTGTTTTTCATAGTTCACATGTTTTGATCATAAGTTGTGGAATCAGCTCAAGTTTCAATATAATTGTAAAATCCATACAAATACAGTGAATTTGTTTTTTTAAATTCTTTTCCTGACTGACTCAGATTTTTTTGTGCATGTTTATGTTTTTTTATGTGGGTTTTTTTGTATGTAGATTCTTTTGTTAGTTGTTTTAAACAACAGTCTTTGAATGAAGTATCATTCACTTTGTGTTCTGACTGGCATAGGTCCACTTTTATTATAAACTTGTGCGGCTTCATCCAAATGAAATTATGAAAATTTTAATATTTCGTTTACATTTGTCAAATTATCAATTGCAAATGTCAAAATGACATGAAGACAATGCATGGCAATCTTACTTCCTTGATGTTGGCAGCTAAGCTACATAAGGTCCCTTTCGCACATTAAGGTTTTTAACCAACTTGTTTGCTCCCTGAGTTTAAATGCATGAAAATATATAGCCTAAAGTGTGATGTAAGTGTCGGGCTTTTTAATAAAGAAAGAATTGTTCAAAAATATGCTGTAATTGCTGACATCTTAGGTAACAAAGAAGTGTGCATTTACACCTTATTATATTAATATAGAAAAATAATTAATAATAATGTTTTTTCCAGTCTTCATCATGTCGCTTTGGGCAAGAGCTCAGCAGTTGCCCCAAGAAAGCTTGCAGCAGGTAATTTTTTACATGATTTACTTACTATGTTGCCAGCATTAAAAATGTTCAACATAATGAGTGTTGACCAAGTTGATTTTTATTTTTTTATTTGATTATACAATTTCCCTAGCATGGAGGGATTATTCCCAACCGTCACCCTGCTCTGTCCCGACGTGAGAATAAAAAGTTTCATCCAAGTTCCATTCTTATGATTACCTTACGGTTGGAACATGTATTATTTCAAAATGGTTCCATTGGTCACCTTATTGGTGATAGTGGGACTAAAAGGTGGCACGATGAAACTTTTTATTCTCACGAGGGGACAGAGCGGCGTGGGGGGACGGTTGAGAATAATTCGCATGGAAACCAGAGCCTTTAAAATTCTTTAATTCATTTGCAACATTACATTTTTTATCTTTTACTTTTTTACAAATTAAAATATTCCTAAGACTACACTGTATTCAAATTAGAACTGGTAACTACTCTATGACTTAAAGGGGGACTTTGTGATTATTAGGGTAGTTGGCATATTGAAGGACCCGTTTGAACATCAATCATTTAAAGGGTCCTTGAAAATTATTGGGGAGATAATCTACACTTCTATACTAATATTATAAAGAAGAAAGATTTGTATTTTTGTATGTATTGAAGTAAAACAAACTACTCGACTGATGTCAAAAATTCTTTAACGGTAACAAAGCTAAGTTATTAGTGAGTAACATAGGCTATGTTTTTTACTATTTTTTTAATTTCACGCATGCGTCATGCAACTCTTGATTAAGGTGTATATGGTTTTAAGCAGTATAGGGAAATAAATAAAATGAAAATTTGATTTTTTAAATTAATTTCTTTATTTAGGTGCGCGCCATCTATGGAGACCATTTTCCGATAGAAGTACGACATTGTCTCGCTTCGTGGATAGAAAGCAGGATATGGTAAGTACAACGATCTTTATAATATTAGTATATAGCGCTACAAGGCCCTCTCTCTGACTCTCCCCTTTTCTCTCTCCCTCTCCCCCTCTCCCCCTCTCCACCTCTCTCCCTCTCCCCCTCTCCCCTTTATCTCCCCCTCTCTCTCCCTCTTCCCCCTCCCCCTCTCCCTCTTCCCTCTCTCTCCCTCTCCCCCATCGCCCCCTCTCTCTTTTCATGAAAAGTGTGCCCTGTATGACTTACGTAATTTTTAATATTAAATCGTCCACAATAATATCAATTTATATAATATCTAACAATTATTTACACCATTTTATGTTACAAATAGCAAGCAAAAAAGTCATGTTTAGACTATATTCAAATAACCCTGTTAGCGTGGTCCGACACCTAGAAGAAATTAAAGGGAAATCTGGTAATGGTCCTATGGTCTTCCAGGACCACGGAGCCGGAAGAACAGCAGCGGTACTTCGTGGAGGAGTTGGTCCAAGAGATCCAGACCAACGCTGATTTGATGCTGTCTCCGGAGATGTTTGTGACCCAAATGAAGTTGAAAGAAGCTGCCAATAACTTTAGAGTGCAGTACAGGTATGTTTAGTACTAGTTTTAGGTAACCTGGGATTGTAACTCTTTTTAGTAGCTGGGGGGTTGGATTATGTGAGAGTAATTTGCAGATATGTGATCAAGAGGGGGATTAGTTAGTTTAAGGGGGTAATTTTGGAGTTTAAGTTGTTGTTTAAGGAGGGGCTAGTTGTTGTTTAAAGAGGGGCTAGTTGTTGTTTACGGAGGGGCTAGTAGTTGTTTAAGGAGGGGCTAGTTGTTGTTTAAAGAGGGGCTAGTTGTTGTTTAAGGAGGGGCTAGTAGTTGTTTAAAGAGGGGCTAGTTGTTGTTTAAGGAGGGGCTAGTAGTTGTTTAAGGAGGGGCTAGTTGTTGTTTAAAGAGGGGCTAGTTGTT